TCAATGCCAAGGACGATAAAAGAAATGCAGATTGAACCAAATAGTCCTCGCCCTACAGAAGGAAAAACAGTGACGGTAGCTTTTATTTTTCCCGAAGAAATAAGTAAATTAAATTGAAGGCATATGGAAATTTTTACGTGTATAAAATGTTCTCTCAGTCAAATATTGAGCGTAGCAAAGAATTTGTTTGGATGCTAATAATCATGATGAACGCACGTCGGATGGGAAGTTTTGCTTTAATCACTGGTGGTTGCCACATTGTCTAGATTTAGTTTTGAATTACACTCTGTGAATTAGTCTCCTTTAGTTACTTTTGCAATATCGGTATCAGACTGTGAGAAACTGCTAGTTCTGAAATGTTGAGATTAACCCACAGCTCAAAACCCGTTTGGTAATGGTAGAAAGTAAGTTACTAACCAATAAAAATTAAGCCATATTTTCTGGGGCGTCAGAAACTTACTTAGTAGTTAAGAAAGGGGATTATTCTGCACGAAATTAACTCATTCGCTGTCTGGTAGTCAAGCCGCTTCACAGAAGAATTGGCGGTCTAAATCTGAATGCGGCTACAATCTTGAGTTTTCGCCATCGAGTTATAAAAAGCGGACAGTTTGTCCCTTTATTATTGTTATTGATCGGGCGTAGAATTTTCGGTTAAGTTAGTGAGCGCTAAGGTTATGTTTTGTTCACCGGAGAAGTGATTTGTTCAAATTACGCCAAGGAATAGTTTTATGCCAAACCGAGTAAATTAAATTCGTAATCTTAAAAGAAGAACTTCATTCGAAATTAGAAACTGAATAACATTTTAGCAACGTTGATTAAAAAACAACTGCCGACACTTTACTGTTAATTGTGAGAATTGAACATCTTTTGTTTTATCATGGCACACTTGGGTTCGGAAAAGGGTTTTTTTTTACAAATTGTCTTGATTTTTCTCTGAAATTTTGTTATGGAATGTGTGGTTTTGTTTATATCAGTGGAAAATTTGTAGTTTTGGCTACCCAGAGATATAATTTGTTTAGGGCGGTGCCATTTGAAATTTTTAAAAATATGACATTTAGCGAAGGTCAATCAAAAATTTTCTTTTTTCGATAAAGTACCTAAAAAAATTATGTGATGGTGGAAGAGGTGTTAACCTGTGCCGCAGTCCAAAAATTAACCGCCTGCGTGATTTAGTTTTTCTCAAAAAAAATTTCGAAAAACTTAGGAGTATAACATGTTGCATAAAAAAAAAGTACTTTTTAAGTACTCTCCAAATCATTAATAAAATATGGGGTTTTCTATTTAAAAAAATGCAAGTTTGATACGCCACTGGAATACAGCACGCCTCTGGTGATCAAAAATATTTTAGAAACATGCCGGCGGTAATTGTGTACAACTTTTCGATATCTTTTATGGTAAATGAGTTATGATCCTAGGAACCTTAGGTGCTACACCCTGTATATTTCATTTGAAAATTGGTTATCAAATTTAAGCTGAGTAACCGACTTTAAAGTTATGTTTAAGCTGAGTAGGGATAGATCAAAAGTTAGTGCCCTCAAGTGAGAGAATTTTATGCTCTACAAAAAAGGTAACCACACCTTTTTTGAGTGTAGTTTTCCTGTAAAATGCCAAAAACTCAAAATATGCAGCTTTAGGAGTGGCTCCCCTTCTAAAAATGTTTGTTTTGGTCCAATATACAATTGTGCAAAGTGGCTTGCTTTAATCATCAAACGCCCCATAATTTTATGTAGGGCTAGGACGAAAATAATGATTATTGCAGGAGACTTTTGTGCTTGGGGAGCGGGAGGGGGAGTAAACTTAGCCTATACAGTTTTAAGATTGAACCACTAATAGTCCAGGCGAATTAACCATTTTTAGGCATAAAAAAAGAACAGTGTTAATAGAGCTTTGACAAGTGCATATGTTAAAATGTTGTATAACAAATACAAACAAAATAAATACGTGAGCAGAATTAATTTTTTGGTGCGGGTGAAAAGGGGTGAAAATCGGATGACGGCAATTTCCAGCAGAAGTTACGATCAGAGACAAAAGTGTTCAATGGAAATGTTGTAGATCGTGAAAAACTCGACAACTTTCTCACATAATCTCAAAGTAACCGAAAAAATTGCGGAAAACCGGTTTTTTTATTGTTCATTTGGGCAAAAATGATTTTATTTTAACAAGACTTTTTACTTTTTTATGTTTCGAAAAGAGGTTTCTGAAATATTCGCTTTTTTCTGCAAAAAACTTTTTAGTCCTTCAGAGAGTTCTATTTGGTGTCATTTTCTTCGTTTTTATCTATACTTTTTGATTGAAAAAATGAAAAAATAACAGTCCCTATTGGAGAAGAAGCTCAAAAAACGAAGGGGCTCCAAAACGACTTCAGTAAAATTGAATTTTCTAGTAAATATTGATGATTTCTTTAAATTTTGGAAATTTGTCAAAAACTGATTACAGCATTCGATTCTATGGGATAAAATACATAAGAACCTATAACTCTCGCCAGGAAAGATTGCCGGTCACAGCACACCTTGTGTCGATTTACAATCTATGTTTTTCTTAAGATGCGAGCGACTTCTGGAATAGGATCGTTGTTGAACGAAAGTCTTTTTGTTCAACATTGACACGATACTATCCCGGAAGTCGCTCACATATTTAGAAAAACATATATTGTAGACCGGGATCAAGTGTTCTGTGACCGGCAATCTTTCCTGGCGCGAGGTTTATATTTCATTATTTTAACAGACGCTTTCTTTATATATTATCAGAAACATGTGAGGGCCATTTACAACTGTGTTTTCTTTGAAACTGATGCGGTCGGCTGGTAAATACTGGAAGTTGCTTCTTGATTTGGTATACTAGACACTTGGTGGACATCTTGAAAACTATGCTAACTGTCCATAGAAAGAAGTTGTTGGATTTCCCAACATTGAATAATGGAGGACTTCGGCCAACGCGAAGAGTCAAAAATTGACAGTTTTTGTTACTTTGACACACATCCGCAAGCGCGATTCTATCCAAAAGCTGTCTGGAAATAGACAGACCGACAGACCAATAGTTTGATTTGGATTCCTGGTGCTTCAAAACGTGTATTTCTGTGCGGGGGAGTCATTTTATATCCCAATGCCGGTGGTAAAAAGCAATTATTGGTGGTTGAGTTGAGTTACTGTTTAACTATCAATTCCCTTAGTTTCTTGCATTGTGGATTTGATTGTGGCGCATCTAATGTTAATTTACGGAATTACATTTGTCATTGTCAATCGTTCCTTCTTTTTACATTGTTGCAAGACATGCAACAATTCGTAGGTAGTTGCTTCAGTGTGCATCAAACCGTTATTTCCTTTTGTTATAATTTTGCACGGGGTGGATACTAGTTGGGCACGTAAGATTGATAATATGTACCATGTATAAAAAGATCCATTTTCTGGAGTGCGGTTTTTGATCTAACGGAGTTACGGAAAGATAACTGTTAGACGAAGGTTTCTAAAAGACTTCCTTGCGTGACCGATTGATACTCATTTAACACGGTAACACCTCTCGTCGTGTTTATTACGTAAAGTTCATTAACATGCCTTTTTTTCCTCAGTTGCGTAACCAGACAGAAGTTTAATCAAAGTAAATGGGTCCATAATTCTTTCATAATTAAAGTAAAAGCTTTACGGAAGGATTAGTGGCAAATTCAACGACGAGTATAAGAAGTTATAAAGTTGAATGTAGGAAAAATAGGGTGGGTAATATGAATTTATTTGCTACCCCCTTAATGTTTCAAGCACACGCGTATATGTGCCATTTTTCAATGCTATTAATAGCCAGCCCTAGCGTTATTCATATTAGAATTGATAGGATCAGTTCAAACTAAAAAGTAGAGCACACGTCGATTTCATGGATTCTTATTAAATATTTCAATACCAATTTTCCGTGACTGGTACCAATGCAATAAATAATTATCGTGCATCTTAAGCTATAACGCATAATCGACTATTTAGTTAGATACATGCATGCGTTCAATAGTTTAGCTTGAAATTAGTGAACAAATTTTGGTTTTTCTAAAGTTTCATTTCAGAATCGTAAATATTAACGTCATTAGGCTGATATGTGTCAAATAAGGGCTGCGGTACCACAATCCATTGGGCTCGTGTGTTAGAGAGAGAACGCATAATTTTTGCCCAAAAATGGCGGAAGTCACCAGATTCTAGTAACGTTAATGTTAGGGATTGTTCCACCTGTTTGGAGATATCTGTATATATTTTTATAAAACATGACAGTACTATGAAGTTAGGTTATAAAAAATGACAGCTACTCAGATTTTATTTGTCAATTTTTTAAGTTGGCAGCAAATTTGCCCAAAAATGGCGGAAGATTGCGGTACTTTCTATATCTAGTCATTACCTAGTGACTTTAAAACCTATAACACTAGGAGGGCCTCTAACGGAAAAACAAAGAACTATAGCTAATAAGAAATTTATACTAAGATAATAACAAATTTACTACGGGAATAACTTACATCTAAGGATATTAAGGACAAGAATACTAAATTTGATATCATTTTTCACCTTTTTAGTGGCAAAGGCTAAAGTTAACGTTTCTCCCTTTTCATCCTGTAGAATGTAGATATTGGTTCCTAAGGCGTGGATTGATACGTTAGTGTACAATATAAATGGCTTTGTAAACTTTGGAAACTAAATCATGTCTTCATTAAATCCATTCTTGAGGTTTTTCATTTCCCTCGCGAGAAAAGCAAATGAAATTTGTTCTTCTTTGGTCGACTGATGTTGGAAAAAAATTTGAATAGGTACTTACGTTCCACCAAAATACAAAATCTAATTTGGTAGTCTTCACGGTACCTAAGATACTGTTAATTATGTATGAGATTACTAATGCCTAATTTCCTTTCATTCGTCATTTCCAAGTAATTTAATACAATCCAGTTGGAACCGTCCAGTCAAAAAAGGCGGAAACGAACAATATTTGCATGTATAATTTTGCGCAATTACCAAACTTAAGCTTTTCTTCTTTTGCAGATTACGGAAAGGAATCTCAAACAATTACTGAGTAGAACGGAATGGCTTTCGATTATGGGAACTTCAAATAGCGGTAAGTAATTGGTTATAATTTCACTTTACGCGAGCTGACCGTGGACCTTCGTGAAAAATTTGAACTTTGCAATGCGTGTCATCTCAGCTTATGCAAATTTAACTCGATTCGAGTTCTTTGTTCGGTTCACTCTTCCTTTTTACCGTTTCGTAAGATTCACTTTATAGTTAATTTTGTATAAATTTTGCATGAGATGTTCTGGTTTGTATCGTGCGTGCGTGATAAAAAATGAAAGTAACGTTTGTCAGACATAACGGCAGGCGAAGAAGGGACTATGAATTAGCCAATTACCGCAATGTACTCGTATCTAATAAATGCTAAATTGTTTTAAAATTTTACGTTCGGGTTAGTTCAATAAGAGATGGAATAATTTCTTGATTCTTTGGGCAACTTTTTTTTTATATGCTCCCAAGGATGCATTAACGCATGTGCCAAGTAGGCTAAAGCCTAGGGGAGCAAACACCTAGTTTATCTCTTATCTCCTGGGTCGTAATTTGAGCTTGATTAAACACAACCTAGAACATTTACAGCTGAAACAAATTTATTAGACAAAATCAATCAATAACGCTGAAATAAAAAAGGCACTCAGGGCCAGAGTACACATACCACGCAACAAGCGATCGATTGGAAAAATTAATTAAAGAAATCTTAATTATCTTAATAACGTATCCGGATATCATTAAATGACCCACAAACACCAAATGATGATACTTCGGAACTTCACTTGAAAGTAGATTTAGACGACACTGGGTTCGTTGTAATTATAGATGTAAAATTCGCGCTTTGATGCCTTATACTTGAAGACCTTAAAAAAGGCGATAACTCCGACTAACTTCTTCGACTAATTTCAATTCTTTAATTCGATTTAAACATTAAACCGCGTAATACAAATCTCTTAGAACACTCAAGTGCCTTTCTTCCGCAACACTTTATAACTGGTAAAGCGGACTGTCTTGCAATAATACGTTCAAATACAGCAAATCTGCCGAACACTAAAACAACAAGCGACTACGTTTCAACGTCCGCCAAAAAAACAAAACAACGATTAGCGTCCATCATCAAAAAAGCCACGATGCGTGTTTTCCTCTCCTATTTAAAATATTCTTTCCTCTTTCATTTTCCGCGTATCCTCTACTTCGAAATTAAACACTCTTATCGGCGAAACCTACTTATCTTCAAACTAATTAGTTTACGCAGCGATAACAAATTTCTTATCCCAACGACCGGATTTAAATGAGATAAATAATTATTTTCAAATGGCTCTAATCTTTCTATATGAACAATAAAATAAAATCAACCACGCGATTATTTAAACAAAATTAAGTAACAAATAATTCTTAAACAAAATCAAATAGCATGATATTGTGTTCATTCTAAATTAGCGACCAACATTTTCTTTAAAGAAAATTGAAATTAACACATACAGGGTCACCCATTATTATTACAGGCGCTGAAACATTAATAATACATTTCAAAATAAGTAGACTAAGTTCGGCGCGTTTAATTAATCTGTCCTTGACCTGAACACGACTTCAATTTAAGCGATGAAAACGCACGTATTTCACTGTGAAGTTTAAAAGTCCTCTGGTTGCACAACAATTTTATGGTCTAATAAATGACAGCCCCTCGATGATGTCGGTCCGTCTGTCGGTCTGCCAGTCTGTACTCTCATTTTCGGCTAAACGGGTTTTGGGATTGGAACCAAATTTGGTAAACATATTCATAGACATAAAGGGAGTAACCGAATAGCTGAAAAGGTTTTGCGAAGAATTCAGGCGCTCGGGGGATACAACCCTCTTCACGATGCCAACACAAAATTCAACTTTGGGCTGGTTGTCTACTTTTTATTCGGTGATTTGTTGTTAGCCGTGTAACAGTTCTTACATCGCTTTTGGGAGGGATATAATTTTAGATAATTCTTAGATCATTTTAATGCAAAACCAGTAAAACTCAATTTAAGATTCGTAGAATATAACTAATTTTCAACACAGTCCCATCGCAGTTGCAGAGGGGCGCATACGATGTTTTTCTTCAGGGTTCTATACAGGGTGTTTGATAATTGAATGTCAATATTTAAGGGTGCGATTTTTGGGTCCATTTTAAAAAAAAACTTCATATGGACCTATGTCCTAAACTTTTGAGATACAGGGTGGTAAAGTTTTCAACCGTTTCTCTGCATGATCATGACAATATCGTTAATATGACTATATCACCGTGCAGAGAAAAAAATATTTTCTTTTTTTACGTGAAAACCGTGTGTCGGATTGAAAAAAATCAAATGATCAAATCGCATCGTTTTTAAATAAACTCTGGTTTTCGGTCGAACTTCTTCTACCTCATTATCTGTTTACTTTTTACGTAGTTGTGGAGAAATAAATTTCCTTCAAGAACCATTGAGATTATTTGGTAACTTCAACTCCTCAAGAAGTTCGGAAATTTTGGGTATATTTCGAATTTTTTTTAATTTTTTGACTGTGTATCAACTCTGACGAATCCCTAACACTAAGATGTCATGTATATACAGGGTGTTACATGACCGCATGTAAAAAAAAATTGGGTGATGGAGGGGATCAAGACAAGCACTTTTTTCCAAATAAACCGAGGGTCCAACGTGTTTCGTTTGGGGGCCACCCCCAAAGAAGTGGTGAAATTTGGATTTCTTCTTTAATTTTTTTCTCAGCAAGCATAAGAATGTTTTTATTTTGAAAAATAAAATAATAAGCCTAAGTTTTGAGGAGTTGAAGATAAATTAACAAATCTACAGTGATTCTTGGAAGAAATTGAGTTTCCTACAACTTCATAATACCACTAGAGGGAACAATTCGATCGAAAACACAATTTTATATGCTTTTGATTTTGATAAGAAAATTTTGTCCTACGGCTCACCGTTTTCCAGTCGAAAAACCGTAAATCCGTACACACAAATAAAACAAAAGGGCGAGCACAGCGGTAGTTCGTCCTGGGCATATAATCGTTGGTCCTTCGTTATCACTTACCAATAGGATTAAGCGCCACTCAATTTCTATCTTAACTCTCCCCGTGTGGGGGAGCTATGAGGGTAGTAATAACAGTTAGGTACCAAAAGAAATAGGTACTGGTTTATGCAATCATGCACCAACAAGAGCTCAAAATAAACTTGATCGATACAGCCACCCAATCAAATTATTGGTTTTCACACTCTCGAGCTGAGCCGGTATTGTTCAGCGGGAGGTACCTGTAGACAGCACCCACTCCAATTACTGCGTACAACAGCCGTCTTATCCCAGTTAATGAGAGGGCATAGAAACCAATTAATACGCATAAAGATATAACAATGATTAAATTAAGGGGTATTTGAATATTATTACAAAACTCGAAAAATTAATTGTGATAGAAAAATTTTTACCAGTGTCGTAGAGCATCAATTTTATTTAATACGAACGAGGGTCTTCAACCCTTATAATGTAACTAACCGATACAAGTGGCAGTAGCTTGTTATTGGGAATTCGTTTGGAAAATTTTAGGGGTCACTTTCTTCTTCGACTTTTTAACAATAATGTGTAAAATACTTTGTCAGAGTATCTATTTATATGGGTTTTATGGTTTATATGGTATCCTTCATCCTAACAGTCCCCATTGAATTATTTATCAAACCTCCAGGATATCCGATCTATCTTTTTCATGAAGCTGTTTAGAATACTAATTGGACATGGGGAACAGATCCCCTTTCTTCTTTTGACTTAGGTATCTAATCTGGTCTAAATATTTTCTTTCTTCACATTGACCTTAAATATCCTTAAGCTATTCCGAGAGTAATTTGTTAAATAATAACACCAATGCAACGGATACAATCACATTTACATACATTACAATAGACCAATCGACGCGACGTGCTTTGAATTGATCCTTCTTCACAATGTGTCTGAGGTGTCCTTACTTCTAAGAAAACAGTCTAAGTAAATGCAATTTTGTTGTACATTTATGGTGCTGGAGACGTTCCTCCTCCTCGCTCCTTTTGACCGGGAGTTTGGATATGTTTTTAATTGGGTTTTCAAATTTGGCGACAACTTACTTTTTCTTCAAGCCGTCAAGTTTGTATTTTGGGTTTTTCTCTTTTATTCAATCCATTCAATTTTCAAGAAGCAAAAACGTGGATTATTTTAGTTCTCCAAAACCTTCTTGAGGAAAAAGCTTTAATTATAAAGCAACTATCAAATTGATCGTTTTTCGTTATAAACACTGACGTTCAAATAACAAATCACCAGAATAAATACAATTTTCCGTTACTCCAGTCAATTGCCGGAAGCTAAGCGCGTGTATCGTGAAAATCTGCACTTCCGACTTTTAAGGCCACAACTTCATTTAAATTCCATCTCATTACAGGTCACGGACAGAAATCGTTTCAGTGTTTAATGGAAACACAAAGATGTAATTAAGTGACGTTGTTTTTTGTCATTTTTGCGCGTACGGGGATTTAATTTATCACACTGTATGGTGTAGGTATTATTTCGCACGCCCTTGTACGGCGATTATCCGAACAAAACTATCACTTCCTGAAAGTGTAAAGGGGAGTTGTAATTAAGGAAATTAGTTTATTGCCTATACTTAAATTGCATAACGAAATTGTTTTAAATTTAAATTAGCACTTTTGTTACTTTTCAAATTTTAAACTATACTTACTGGCGAAATGGTGGATCGGTTTTTCTGCAAATCCCAACAAAAAAACTGTATCATAAAATGAATTACTAAAATGCCGTCGACTAGCCCTTATGATTCTCTACTAAACTTTACCGCATTTAACTCCCCTTGCTGTCGCTTATGCTCACTCTGTTCGTTGACTGAGCCCTTAATTTTCTGTCTACTACAAGCGAACGCATAAATGGCAGTACTCGGCATCGATTGGCTACGGAAACGCGTACTGGTATTAGGGGTTTAAATGGCGTATGGTTTACGGAACCAAAGTTGGAGGTTCAATGGTTCCGCTGATAAAATTTAAGGCACTATTTGGCCTTACTGTCAGCAGCAATAAACATTTTAAAACTAACCTAAACCAGTATAACTTTTTGTGAAACACTTCAATATTCATGAAGAGATAAAATTAAAATAGGAGTTAATTATAAGAGGAGCGTAAAAAAGAATTAAGCAGAATTAGCAGCTTGCGTATTTAGCAAACTTAATTCCATATGAATTACAAATAGTTGGTAGCCGAGCGCATAGCTTCACTCGGCTTAATTTTCATTAATAATAAAGCACATACACAAATCTGTAACTTTTAACTTTAATTTATTAAGTCCGTCTCTGACCAATCTGTTTGCATTTATTGGTATCAGACTACATACAGCTATATATAGGATTAGAGATACTTGCGAATTAATATACATATTGAATTCACTTAATGAAAGTGTGGCAGGAATAGTTCATTCCAATTGTAGCTTTACAATTGAGTGTTCTTGACTTACTCGATGAATTCCATTGGATAGCTCTAAATTGCATACTCAGTAAGGTACTTTACAATCAGATCTTATTAACTGACCTCCCGAGCGTTTTCTTTACTATACGAAACGCCCGAGCATTTCTGTTTATGCAATCAGTCACGTATTTAAATGTTGTTTATGTGATTTTTTGTCGTGGCTTTGATGTTTGATGGCTGGATTTGGTTCCACTCTCTTGACTTGGATATGATTCGAAACGCACGGACCGGCTACAGAATTCTGGGGCGTGGCTTCTAGGAAATGCTACGAAACTCTTCGTCAGAAGCGTGAAGATTATTGATGTAGACGATGGCTCGCTTTTGGCTTAATTTCTTTCTTAGAGATCCGCCTAATTGGCTTAAAATTGCACGTCGTGCTTCGCCTAACGAATGACACCTTCCCACTATTTAAGGATAAGACCGAAATTACTCTTTAACGAAGTGACGTTGAAAAGTTTCGTCTTTTAAATATGTATTTCATAGGTGCCTCAGGATTCTAAATGTGTCCAAAATTATATAGGAGAAAAATAAGACACAAGTGATCGTGAGAATAAGATCTTTAAACTTTGTTTGAGCGTAATCCTTTTGGAGGACTTTTATAATTGACATGCTTCATGCGACAGGTAACCGCAATAGCGTTGAATCGAAACCTTAACAGTTTTGTACTTTGTGGCACATTTCAAGATATAAATCATATTGAACCAAGAAACTGTATCTGCGAATTTTCGTTCATAGTCTATGAATCAAGCAAAGAACGCAAAGCTGAAACTTCTCATTTATGTAGTGGCGCCTTGTCTGAATTAAAATTCGCGTAAGTATTAATTTACTATATAACAGAAAGTTATTAACGCTACAACACATTAATTTACAATATGGATAATCGAGTGGTAAACACTAAAAGCCTAATAATAATTAAGTGCTTATAAAGATTGTTTACCCTGAACGGAACAGGTCAAAGATAAAATGCGCGGAAAACTTTTCAGATACAAGTGGAAATTACAATCAAGAGAATTACTCTCACTTCCCGAATACAGCGTACTTAAAGCTATGGAGAAAATGAGTCAGGGGTAAGACCCTCCATATCAAAAATCAGTTACTGGCGTTACTGCACTGTCACTTACCATGATTTCATGGTAATAAAGCTAAATTTGCTACGTGAATTTACGTTTGAAGAAGAACCAGTAAGTTCCACACTGATTCTCTTTTCTCTTGGACTTGTATGGTTACTTCTTGTTCAGGTTTTAACATTAGAATCATTGTCTTCAATCAAAGATTTTATTTCTTCTCGCAGTTTAGCGTAATGGACGACTGAGTAGGTTAGCGTTTAAAGGCGAAAGTGTTGGGCAAATGTCCGACACATGGAGTTAAATGCGTCTTACATTCCGTCCAGATTGAAAAGATTTTCTATTTAAACTGCTTCATATTTTCTTAAGTCAAGGTGCGTCTGTGTTGATAATAGCGTAAGTTCAAAGTTATTCAACTTACGCGCGAACGTGTTTCGTATTTTTAGTGCCCCACTAAAGTTAATTGGCCGTCGCTCAAGCCTGCGATGAGAAAAACACTTACATGTGGCTCGTACGGAAATTGCAACGTAACTCGTACAAAGTTACAAATTACCAAATACATAATTGTACTTGACGTGGTTTATTGTTTCCTTATACTCTAAAGCGAGTATTGGTCGACTACAACTGTAGAGGTTCCAATCTGCAGCCTCAGGATTATTTTCTTCACATTATTGTAAGGAGGCCGTTCCGACCTTATTGTGTCACGAGATAGTTCTATTTACGAGGTACAGTGATATCTAATTCACGAAAATCATCAGAACTTATGATCGATTAAAGTGTTTCTAAAATTAGTTAATGAACAAATTTGGATGTGATACCTAAATTAATATAAATCAGAAAAAAAATATTTTAATTTTCGGAGATATAGGTAACTACTTCTGACTATTTTTTAAATGGCACGCCCTGTATATTTTTATACTATTTGGTAGGAAATAATTTTTGCTTTAAAAAAGTTTCATAAGTTATACCGTTGAGTGACCTTCACTCAACGGTTATACCTTCTAAACTTAATAGAATTCGAAATATTAAAGAAAATATTAAAATAATTTTACTGGAACTAAAGCTGGCTATGTAATCAAAATTTCAAATTTGTATTAGTTTATTGTTATAAATATATAAGCTACGTAGAACTGGTTCCCTGACTGGTTTCCTAACAAATGGTATAAAAATATACAGGGCGTACCATTTAAACAAGTCAGAAATAAGTATCTCCGAACATTAAAATATTTTTTTATCTGATTTACATTAATTTATGTAGCTTAGTAGAAACACTAACAATTGTATTTGAAAGATCACTACTTTATAAAATCAAAAAATTTAAAATAACTTAGTTATTTCGTTGGAAAACGTCGCTTTCTTTAGAAATATGGGAACAGATCGCGATTGTGCATAGGAATAATAAGCCAATGTTCCGCTGTGTTGATATTAATCAACATCATCAACATCAGTCAACTTGCTTTTAACCGGCCGTTACTGTTAGCGATCCGAAGAATGTATTTTTTTTTACATAAAAAACCTACTTTAACCGATACTTCCTTTTCCATCGTTATACTTCATGTTCATATTTACGACCCACAAATTTGATGTCTCATGACGCAAGGCCTGATGATGGCATAAATATACAGGGTGAGTTTTTTTCATTTTAAGCATTAGGATTTCGGAAACCCTAAGACATAGAGATTTGGTTAAATTAGGAAAGAGTTGCCGTTTTAAGAGCTTATTCAAGATATGCTTCTGCTTTTTGAAAAAAATCCATAGTTGACTAGATATTAGCGAAAAACAGATTTAGTGATTTTTCTTTTAAATGAACTATGCAAAGAACAAAAATTGTAGATTTTTTTCCGCTTAATTAAGGTACATTTATTAATATTCATTCTTCTTTTATAATTTTCGAGTTATAACTCAAACTTACATTTTTTTAAATAGCAACCATAGCTGGCTGTGACATTTTTAAAAAGTGCATTTTTTTCTGTTTACGATGATATAAGATTCATTGTACTTACTTACTTTGACAAATAAACATGATACAGAAGTGCTTGTATTATTAAGAGTAGTAAAAACAGAGTTTGCGATGGGAAACATTTTTGTTCTTTTAATTACTCAGGGCCAATTGCACCGTCAAAATTAAGTATGTAAAATATAGGTCCAAAAATTCGTGATCCAATAATTCCGCACCAAACATTAAATCCAAGTTTTCTTTAAGGTCTTCAACAATAAACAGCAGTATTTTGTTTATTTATTGTTTTCCATGGCATGATACGATCTACTTATAATAGTGTATTGAATATAATTGTTAATTTAACTTTCATAGTGAATTTTTGAAAATGGCCTTTAAATATGTTAAATGTACAACAGTTACACTATTACCTATCTCACTAGATGTTGTTTTCCATGGCAAACTCTGTTTATTTACCTTTCAATAGTACGAAAATTCCTGCAGCGCGTTTATTTATTAAAGTACATTTAGCAAGCCGTTATAAAGAGAAAAATTTGTCCTTTTTAAAAATGTCAACGCCAACTATGACTACCATTTAAAAAAATCAAAGTTAGTATTATAACTCAAAAATTGTAAAACATAGAAGGAAATTAGTATGTTCATCATGTTAAGCATTAAAATGTCTAAAACTTTTATTCGTGTCATTTTGCTATATTTCTAAAAATAACTATTCTACAACAGTTAAATGAAAAATCACTAAATCTGTTTTGCGCTCATATCTAGTAACCTGTGGATTTTTTTCAAAAAAGAAAAGCATATCTTAAATAAGCTCACTCTTTCCTCATTTAACCGAATCTGCATGTCTTATGGTTTCGAAGATCCCAATGCTTAAAATTGAAAAAAAACTCACCCTGTATATTTGCCGAAATCGATAGCCCAAAAAGAAAAAAACAACGTTACCACCAAATTAGTTTTTATTGAATCGACGATAACGTTTCCAGAATGGCGAAATTCATCGCACATAAGCTCATTTTACTCATTTTCTTTCTAAGTAAGCCAAGTACTTAATTATTGAGTACTACAACAGTAAGCTTGATTTAAATAAGGGATGTTGACGCAATCATATCCTTTGGGGCATTTCCACGCACCGGCGGTGCATTGTACCGCGTAATCGTATATTCCGAGTAGAGGCCAACTGTTTTCAGGACAATATGGTTTACCTAAAAGTGCAATTAGCCTATAAATAATTTGTTCATAACGCCCTCACAGTACGCGAATGGTGGTGGACACGGTTGAGTTATGCAGTAAATCGTTTCAACCTCGCAATAATGCCCTCTGGAGCAGTGGACTCCATTACAGGGATTTTTGGAAGCGCAGTTATCACAATCCGTTTGGGAGCCATTAGTACCTTGAATCGAGGGTTAGACTGATCATTCGAAGAACAATTAACTTACACTTGTACCTCACTCCACCTGCAGCATTAAAATCAGTGATATTTTCAACAGTACACATTTCCCCTGGTGCACAAGGCAGGTTTTTACAATGATCGATACATTCACACGTTAGGCAACCATTTTCATCCAACTTCTCGCCATACGGGCAGTATGGGACACAGTCAAGTAAAGGGCACGGAGCGCCACCTATTAGCCACAAATAATATTGCATTTTCCACCTCGCTTTGCGAGCTTACACTTTTCAATGTATCCGCAAGGCTCCCCTGTACTACTGCAAGGCAGCACATCCGCCCTGCATTCCTCGCCCGGTCTACACTTCGGGTTGGCACACGGCTTATTGCAGGTGCACGTTCTGCAGTTATTATCATCGATCATATTTCCATACGGGCAATATGCATCGCAAGATTTGTTTTCGCAAATTTGCGGACCTTGACAAAAGAAGCTTGTTATTCAGTACAGCCTAAAAGCATAGTAGACCCATGTGGCCCAGTTCAGTTGAAGCTGGACTGCGGTACTAAGGGTCCCTGGTTCGAATCCGGGCATGGATAAATTATTCACTACCCCGAAATGGTCTATATACAAGATAGGAAACTGCAATATACTACCCTATGTGAGGTGTTCTAACTGAAACTGAAATTTATTAGAATTAGCTCAATAAAAAAGGTTTATGTGAGTTCCCTTTTCGGAGACAAAGTATTCAAAACTGGCCTGGTTTCAAGACTTTTTCTAACCAAAATACCAAGCTATAAGGTACTTACCAACAGTAAGTGCAGAAACGTCACTAACTATCGCTCTAAAATAGTGAAAAATGGTAAATGAATTTTGATATTAGCAATAATACTTACAGCAGTATGGTCAGGATTAATATTATCAGCTGAAAGTGTAAGCAATACAAAAAAAAGTGGGCAAACGTAGAACTTACTGTAAAAATACGCATGTTTAGGAATGAGTTCACTGTATTTTTGTAGAATATCTTGATGGACTTATATTATCGACTGATAAGGTATAAAATTACCGCCTTGATAAGATGGAACTGTTGAGAACTGGGGAGTTTACCCAACTCGCCTCAACACGATAATTTATTGACTTGTAATCTTTGTGATATGAAAATAAACTTTATTGCCGAGCGTCCTGTTCCCAAGCAAATTTTTTAAATCTTGTTTCGCAAATTCGTTAAGAAGCAAACTTTTTACAATATCTCGATTATTTATGTATCTAGTTTTTGTATTCTCTATTGTATTAGCAGGTATTCAATTGTCATTTCAACGGTTTAAATGAGTCGACTAAACCTCTCTTTAACAGTAAGGGTACTTAGAGCGATCTATTTAACCGAAAGGGTAGATAAAGAGAAACAAATGATTGTACATTTGAATGACGTCTGCCATTCTTATTAAAATGGGACGCAGAGCACGAATTAAAATGAAGTTCGGATCAGAAACAATATTTTTTCCATGGAAACGACCCGTTTTGGGTTTTACCGTTTACCTGTTAAAGGGTAAGATTATGCATTGGTAACCACTTGAAATCATTCTGTGACCATACGTAATGTAGTCAACATCAATACAGTCCACTATTTGTAATAAAGTATTATATTTGAATATTTAAATTATTTTAACTACCCGAGTGAAAATAAAGTCGAAACAAAAAACAGAATCTATCTATCGTAGAGGCTTGCGGTAAAAAAAAGTTATTACTAAAACGGCCATGAGCAAAACGTGGAAAATATTTTTAAGTTTCTGAAATTACTGCTAGGGGGATGCAATTCTTGAGCTACAAATATTATAATATTTGAAATTTTGTTAGTTTCACATATCACCGCTTGAGGGCTTTTTTCGACATTCCGACGGAAATGGCAGGGTTCGCAAATGGTCTCTTTTTTAGACATTGGTCTCTTTTTTCAATGCTGGTCTCTAAAAGTCTCTATTTTTCATATTTGGTCTCTAAAGTCTCTAAATTTTGCATGTTAAAAAAGTATAATTCATAACTGATAAACCGCAGAAATTTTACTGTACATTTTTAGCGCATTTTTTAAGAATTAAAAAAAATGCGTTTTGTTCGTCCGGACCCACTTCTGCCGTCTCGAACTACTTCTAGGAGAATGGTCCTAGAGTCCTGGAATTCTTTGCAGTAGGTAGCCTATACCTTGAAGGTGTGCCAGACGGCCACCAAATTCTCTGTCTAAAAGGGGGGCCCCCCCACGAATTATTTCCTGAGATACTGTTTTTGAAAGTGAAATGTGCATAACTTTTACATACGACAACCAATTGGTCTCAACGAAAGGAACCGTGTTCTACCAACTATACTGCCCTTCTTCTGTCCTCTTATCAAAGTACGGGGTGGAGGGACAGGGGGGGGGGGGAATTAGTTTTGTCCTTCATGGTACTCTAATGAAAGTTCTCAACGAAAGGAATTAATTTCTATCAACCATAGCCCTCCTCCTCGACCTCTTATCGCGATCGGGTATATTCCCTTATACCTCGAGAACGGATTGTCGGAAGAGGGTACTCACAAAGGGCGATTGGGACGTCTGCAAGAAATATATCCATTGGTGATGTAAAAAAAAATATTTGAGTGAAACAAAATGCGTTTTATCCGCACAAGAGTTGTGCACAATTTATGTTTAGATATATTGCCGTTTATGTATCTCATCTATTACAAAATAAATATTTTTTGCTTAATTTTGTATGGAAATTGGTTCTCAAAGGTCTCTAATGGTCTCTATTTTTAAATATATGACCAAGTCTCTATTTTTTTTGCTAAAATCAGTTGCGAACCCTGAAATGGTTAATTTTCTCAAAAAAATTAAATGCATTGGTTCGATTTTTTTCATGAAAAAGTAGCTAAATAATGCCTAAACAAGCTCGCGAAAACAGCATCTCGATATCTTGAGACCCACCTTAGGGCCACAAATTATATAACAAAAATAATTCCTGAAAAATTGGCTTAAAAAAATAAAATTTTGAGGGTATAAAATTTTCATTGGCCTAAATTTTAGGTTAGGAACAAGATATAGAGATGCGGTTTTCGCGAGCTTGTTTAGGCATCATTTAGCTACTTTTTCATGAAAAAAAATCAAACCCACGCATTTCATTTTTTTGAAAAAATTAACCATTTCTGCCGGAATGTCGAAAAAAGCCCTCAAGCGGCGATATGTGAAACTAACAAAACTTCAAATATTATAATATTCGTAGACGAAGAATAACTCTTTTCAATTAACTCGAGTTTGTTAAAATCGACTCAGTCGTTTCGAAGATACAGGGTGTTCTTTACGGAAACCTTTGAATACCCCCACCACTTCATTTTTAGAGATACAGGAAAAATTGTCAAACAAAAAAGGTTCAGATTATCGTCGTCTTCAAAGACCGGACATTTTTTTGTTAGGTGAATATAGCGGAATTCACAGAAAAATCACTTTTTTAGATTCCAGATTGCAGTTACGCCCCCTAGCGGCCATTTCAACCTCTACGATGGACAGGTTCCCAGATACAGTACCTCGCATTCTTATTTGGCCACCCTATACATATATGGGTTGAGTGGAAGAGCAGGGAGTAATAATTTTTATTACAATCTGAACTCCGCCCTTTGAGTAGTGAGTAGTTGGTAATAAAAACAAATTTTTTCGTGTAAGGTGTAGCTCAATAAAGGTATTATTATTATTATTATTATTATTATTAAAGGTAACCATTAATCATTAAATTGTGTTTGACATTTCAGTGTGTTCTGTGACTTCTTGTCTCTTGTCTCGTGTTTCTTCTTCCGGGATAAAAAGTATTACTTTAGTCCCTTAAATGGAAGACAGAGCACGTTCATTTAGTCCAGGACTAAGAGATCAATATTCCTTGTGCTTCAGCAATCATCAATGTTAAACATTAAACCAAATCAAGCGTATTTGTGATCACAATTGCGTTATCCATAACCATAATTGAATTTGTTGCTAAATTTCGGATAAGCTGCTTCTCTAACCAGTTTTCTATCTAAATTCATTAGGTATTTAGGGCTTTTGAAAAAATGTTTACATCAATTACCAGTAGTAAGGTTAGGCACAATTTTGCACCTAAAAACACTAAGCGAATTAATCAATTACATACCTTATGATATCGTAAATCCAAGCTATATCCTCGGCTATATGCGTCTGGAGACGGAAAACGTAAAATAAAGCAAATACTAGTAACGTGAAGCCGTGACAATTACAGGTGACACTGTCAAAACAGCATAATTATATAATTATAGCACGAAGGGTCGCGCGTCGTTTTGGAGGCTTTCTATTGGCCAGTTTGGAATTTAGTTCCAATATGGCGACCGGAACCAACGACCAATCAAAACCATTGTTTGGGAATGTGAGGGCAATTTACTTATTGAATACATGGCAAAGGGAACTACGCTTAATTGTGGCTTGAGGAAGGTCCTCAAAGTCGTGGCGGACATGAGGGAGAAATAAACTTTTTTCAATATTTGTACGGTTTCCTCGCTAGTTAGGTTGAAAAAAGACGTCCTCGTATGTAAGAAACAAAACTTCACATACTCACAAAACCAGTCGACATAGAAACAAGTTTGATGACCTTTACGGCATCCTTAAATTGCGTAAATCCGTGTTGATCATTTGCAAACATTTAGTACACCGTATATGTCATGCAAATAAAGTGACAAAAATATACAGCTTGTAAATTACTGACTTGATAGGTAAACAGTGAATTTGACCTTAAAGTGCAAATTATATTGATATAATGGATTACAGGGCAATGAAATTTGTCTTTATACTTTTAGTTTACCTGAAAATTGTGCAGTAATAATGAAGTCCCTAATCCAATGATTAAACGTATAATTTCCAGAAGTTGATTTGGGTAAACCCCCCAGTCCTTGTTTCGCAATTTTTCTTAAAGTTAATCCATTTTAATATGTACTAGTTTTCACTTATCAAGCAGATAACGTTATTTTTCTCTACAGCAATATTGTTCCTAAAAAAACAAAGAAGCGATAAAAGCCCCCTGTATAAATTCGACATAGTACATTTATTCTTCGGAATCAGTTGAAACATGCGATATTTTACAGTAAGTTTTTTATTTGCCAATTTTTCTGTTTTTACTGTATAGTTTCAGGTTATAATTTTGAACCTCGCCATACTCCAGTAAGTACCACTTCCTCAATTCTCACTATGTAATTGGGGTATCATTTTTCATTGTTTTAGGCCGATGTTCATTGGCTTAACTATTGCAGGTAGTAAGTATTCAAGTCAAAAGTGATGCATGCCGAAAATTCATCATTCAGTTTCTAAATTTTTTAGCGTTAGTAGTTTTTGTTTCTAAACTTTATTGGCCAATGTGTCATAATTACGATGTTGCATATTTTTTCACCAAGGTTCCGTTTGCGAAAATGTACCTTGTGAACAGTACTGTCCATATGGAAATCTTCATGAGGAGGGCTGTAGGACGTGTACCTGCAATGATCCGTGTAAATTCGAGGAGTGTCCTCCTGGCGAGGAATGCAAGGTGGAATCGATGATGTGTATCTGGCAACCTTGCGGATATATGGGAAAGTGTAAGTTGTCAATTGAGGCTTAGTGGAAGGTATAATAATTTGTGTGCTGGTAGGTGTTCCTGCCTGCCCTGTGCACGACTGTCGCTCCAACTGTCCCTATGGCTTTGCAGTTAATGAAAAGGGCTGCGAAACGTGCCAATGTAGGGATCACTGTAAAAACATGATTTGCGCACCAGGGGAAATTTGCACTGTTGAATATGTCACTAATTTCGCTGCAGGTGGAGTGCGCACTAAATGTAAGATCAATTGATTCAAATTATCAAAGTAATTCCTAAATTAAGGTACTAAGAAGTGCAATGACTTACCATGCCATGCAAACACAGTTTGCGAATATGGCTTCGAAAGGGACTGTGATGGTTGTCCGACTTGCGCTTGCAAAAATCCTTGTGAGGGTGTCACCTGCCCCAAAGGAAGCTACTGCTTCGTTGAAAACGTTCAGTGCGTAACCGATCCATGTCCATCTCCATCTGCGTCATGTAAGTGCATTTTGAAAAAACGATTGGGCGATCTATTAATAACACTTTTAGGTCAATCATATTGTCCTCCAAACAGTTGGCCACTAATCGGATTGTACGATTATGCGGTACAATGCACCGCCGGTGCATGGAACTGCCCGATAGGATACGATTGCATCCACGTCCCTAATCTGAGTGAATCTTACTGCTGCACTACTCCTCATAATCATTAATTAGGTTTTTTTTATCTGGCCTGTTTGGTTGATACAGAGTAAAAAAAGCGTAGTTGTTAGGTTTAGTACTGAATCATTAAAGTCTAATCTCAGACAATGCCACCAATTAAAAAGCTCATTGCTGGGATACATGAGTAAATTAAACCTTTGCCCAAATTTCTCCTCACCCCTTACTATGTGTCTCATCATTGATCATCGCCGGCTATTAATATCGAAAAATAGTTATTTATTATACCTAAGACGATAAAGGGATATTTTAACCATCGAGTGACAGATGTTAATTCAAGATGGTTAGCTACCCTTTATCGTCGTGTATAATACAAAACGTTATTTTATTATGGGCTTATTTGAATTTAATTTAAACGTCAAAAATAGCAAGCTTAGGTTGTACGGCGCGGTGGTTTCCATAGAAACAGCATTATCATATATTCGGAACATCATTTCGTCCCATTTGAAATAAGAATGACATATGTCATTAGAATGCACAATTATCTGTTTCAATTTATCTACCCTTAGTGCCCCTTCACACTAGGCGACTTGGCAGCGCTGTTTAGTCGCCTTCTGCTGTCGGCGCATTGGTCAATATGGAAACCTTCATACTGAGCGACCGCGGGAGCGGCGACCGATACGAGCGTCTAAATGCGGCTAAGCAGCGCTGTCTGGAGGCACGTCGCGGCTGCTGCAATAGGCAATGCCCATTAAACAATGAAAGTAATGCAAAGTTGTTATATTTGTTACACAAAAAAGAATAGTGAAAAGTAGCAGGTCCTCATCAAAATCGTCATTCGAACTATACCCGATCCGTATGCGAAAATATAAAATCTAAAACAGGACTTATTTTGTTGGTGATTGATTTTTTTAGCGGACGTAATGCTCCAAGTATTGGACCGTACTCTTCTTTTGGTTTAGAGCCCAGTGACCGATCCAAATTCAGTGGCTCACTTGGCCGTTTCCCGAACATGCCATGGCAATTACGTTAAGTAACGTTTGGTTTTCCGCAGCGATAACAGTGGGTTGACTATCATTGTTACACCAACGTTCGATCTACATAGATTTTGCAATAGGCATTCGAGAAGTTATCTAAAATATTAAATTATCTCAAGAAAAATGACAGTTCTGCAGACCAGAACTAAAATACCTGGAATATGTCTTTAAGACTGAAGGATTACAGGTAGACCATGAGAAGGTGGAAGCTATTCCCACCTATCCGTAAGATACAAATCTTCATTCTGATTTTTTCCGGATTGGGATTAGAAGTTTGCCGTTTCAAATTTTGGTTTTAAATTTGTATTTTGTAAACATAGGGAAATTTTCATAGGTAGGTACCGCTTCACAGTAAACTTGAATTAAAGTAAGTCTGGAGATAACAAGCGATAATAAGATACGTATTGGGGAAAGTCGCGTTCATTCGATTTGAGCCGGGTTTTAATTGCGGGTTTTCTATTGGTTGTAAGCGCACGCCAATCGTGTTTATTGCATTCAGAAAAGAAAACCCGCTTTGGTTTTTCTAAGGGGCGAGATTCATCTAGTGAGAGAAGTGGGAGAGCGATCATTCAAAGCTGGTTTTCGCGAGCGATATCGAGATGCGAGCTTGTTTAGGCATCATTTAGCTACTTTTTCATGAAAAAAATGTAACCAACGCATTTAATTTTTTTGAGAAAATGAACCATTTCTGTCGGAATGTCGAAAAAAGCCCTCAAGCGGCGATATGTGAAACTAACAAAACTTCAAATATAATATTTGTAGCCGAAGGATAACTCTTTTCAAATAACCCGAGTTTGTTAAAATCGGCTCAGCCGTTTCGAAGATACAGGGTGCTCTTTACGGAAACCAGGGGCGGACTGGCCCGGAGGGGCGGGGGGCGATTGCCACCTGGCCTGTACGTCATAATGGCCCGTTGGAAATTTATAAGTATGTGCTGTATTTAGTTTCTTGCACTATTAATAAGTTATTAACATGTTTCTCTAATTGGGGTTGATATTAGGTTGTTAAAAAATTAAAAAATTCTGTTTTAATTAAAGTGTTTTACAATGAATTTATCATTTTTTGTCGTAGCATGAAAGTGATGAAATACAATGATAGGCGACGCGCCTCGTTTGGATTGTATATTTTGTTACTTTTAATTATCAGCTGCAATTTAAAAAAAACCTGTATTGTAATTGATTTCCGTAAAAGGAGTACTTTAAAATGAAGCAAAAAATGTTTTTGTGGTGCACTGCAGAGCTACCCCCCCGCCACCTTCATTACTACTCTAATACTTTCATGGCCCGTAACCTATGCAATTCCACCTGCCCCGCCCCTGAATAGAAACCAATTTCGAAAGAAAATTCAAAGGGCTGTAACTTTTGAACTAGTGGCCCAATCTTGGAACTGTTTGAAATTATGGATTCTACAGGCCACATTCTATAAGAAAATTTTTTTTCCGGGTCGATCTGAGACAATTTTTTTTTCGGGCTCAAAAAAAGGCAGTGTATAAACCTTCCTTTTTTACCAAAAATCGACTGCACCAAAATTTCTCGGGAAAACACTTTTTCTTATTAATTTTGGTGCGTAGAATCCAAAACAAATCGTACTTTTTCGATCGGACGTCTCAATCAAAAGTTTTAATTATCAGCTGCAATTTAAGAAAACTGTATTGTAATTGATTTCCGAAAAAGGAGTACTAAAATGAAGCAAAAAAATGTTTTTGTGGTGCACCGCAGAGCTACCCCCCCCCCCCCCACCTTCATTACTACACTAATACTTTAATGGCCCGTAACCTATGCAATTCCACCTGGCCTGTAAGTACCCAGTCCGCCCCTGACGGAAACCTTTGAATACCCCCCACCACTTCATTTTTAGAGATACAGGAAAAATTGTCAAACAAAAAAGATTCAGATTATCGTCGTCTTCAAAGACCGGAAGAAAAATAACTTTTTTAGATCCCAGTAAAGTCACTAGATATAGAAAGTACCGCAATCATCCGCCATTTTTGGGCAAATTTGCTGCCAACTTAAAAAAATTGACAAATAAAATCTGAATAGCTGTAATTTTTTATAACCTAACTTCATAGTACTGTCATGTTTTATAAAAATGTATACAGATATCTCCAAACAGGTGGAACAATCCCCAACATTAAAGTTACTAGAATCTGGTAACTTCCGCCATTTTTGGGCAAAAATCATGCGTTCTCTCTCTAACACACGAGCCCAATGGATTGCGGTACTTTCTATATTTAGTGACTTTAGATTCCAGGTTGCAGTTACGCCCCCTAGTGGCCATTTCAGAAACTTAAAAATATTTTCCAGGTTTTTCTCGTGGCCGATTTAGTAATAACTTTTTTTACCGCAAGCCCCTACGATTGACAGGTTCCCAGATACAGTATCTCGCATTCTTATTTGGCCATCCTGTACATTTGAGAATTTGCCTAGTGGTTAGGTAATTGGGAAGCTCAGTTCTCGGAAATGTAGTAGATAATAGTATTAACCGAATAGGTGCCACTTGTCAAAAGTAAAAGTCAAATCTGGGAGATTCTTCTTCTAATTTTGACAAATTAAGAAATAAAATAATTGACAGGGATAGAACATAAACAATACTTGACGTCACAATCGAGGGTCATGTAATCAATGATCTCAAAAATATTACAAATAAATAAATTTAAATTATTAAAAAAAAGGGATCAACAGATAGTCAGAGAAAAATATCAAAACCGTCTTCTGCAGAGATATAACTGTTAAATCAAGGAGTCGTCGATAACAACAAAATTGCCTTTGAACTCTGGTCGTAGCGTCCGTCTGATTTCAAAAGGGCGCGTTCGGCAGATCGGTCACAGACAATATCACAACCAACAAATAAAAGTGGTAGTGAATCGCGCTGCACATAAAAAATTGCGCAAGCAGGGTCTAACGTCTGACACGGAAGCAATTGTATTGTTCGACTACGGATTGGTCGTACAATCGTCGGGCCATAAACGTGACGTTAAATTCACAACTAACTAAACTGATCTTATCAATTCACGATGTAAATAAGCTAGTGCTAGCAAATTCTTCGGAGTAAAACAAATAACACACGTAAATGAAAAATCGTGGAAATTGGTTACAGCCCAAAGATCGGTAATTGCAAAACTTATTCGCTAAGCAACGGTAGCTAATATCGGTATAACACAGCTAATCTGAAGGATACAATGCAATCAAACTAACAGCAATGAATCTTTGTACTAACAAAAGTAATCGTGAACAACGTCGGGTCTGGATAAGCATATTTTTCGTAGCGGAGCAAGTAGCGTAAGTAAAAGCAGATCGGGGCAAATTTACAAGATCGTTAACCTCCTAACGTCTCGTAAATACTGGAATTGTGGAGAATCTGCCGGTAATGTAGAAACTCATCTATGGTGTTCTTGACCTGTTAAATAAAAATGCTATTTCATCTACGTACTGCGTGGTCAATGCGTAATATGGCGTTAGGATATCAAGTAGAACGCGAATTTAAACATAACGAGGGTAAGAATACTAAATTTGAATTACGAGCGAAATAGGCTATTGTTCTTGTAATGTAAAGTAATTGTTTTGATGATTGTAGCGCGAGGAACGTTTGCGCAGTTGCTTTCAATAAGTTCTTTGTTCAGTAATCGGCCCCAGAAATTGCCAGCGCCACTGGGTGTTATACCCCATAATTTTAATAAGTAATTTCAAATTTCTTTTTTTGACCGAGAGTATACAGGAGAGCGTGAACGTTGCTGAATTAGCAGATTCAGGAATATGGTGAGGGTGATTGATGGCTCTAACTTTGATCTGATTCGAAGGGCGTTTTTTAAACAAATGGATAATTAGATACGGTCATCGTGGCTATTACTCCGCCATTTAGTAGGCGGTAATTAACCATGTAAGAAAAAAAAGGGCAGTTACTTTTTCTGATGGATTAAGGCATTCGCGTTTTAGCATTAAAAGTGACCCACTTTGGTCCCTATAAAAAAGTCGCGTTTTGGTCTCTCTTGTGGATAGGTAGTTTATTTACGCTCTCGGGAGTCGTATCTTCCGATATTTATGGGAGTTCAAAGTTTGTAAGAAAGTTTTTATTTTGTGGAAATGTAAAACGAGGACATAGTATTTCAAATTAAAGAAGAAATCCGGGTTTGGAGTAGCGCAATTGAATATCCTGCAAATGTGACGCGTCATAAACGTTCTTCCGTTTTTCGCGAGGGATTACCATTGAAATTTTGACAGTATTCGATAAATTTTGCGCTAGTTAAAAAGTTGCGACGAAAGTTTCTGGTAAATAATATCACTAAAACAACCCCAAAGAGTCGTTATTTTCAAAATTTTCCCCGGAGTCTTCAATTGCGAGGCGAATTGAAAGCATAACCGTTTATCATAGTACCGGAAATGCGCTTACCTTTTTGTTTGGGTTGTTGTTATGCTTATATTCTAATTCCATTCCTTTGTTGCAGATTATTCAATCACCTACCCATCATTCCATAACCCACGAATTCGACGATCAACGAAACGAAACGGATCGAGCACAAAGCACCTGGTGTTGAATGCACCAACTTGGAAAAGTACGTTCGATTTGGAATTGACTCCCAGCCCAACGTTGCTCGCGCCCACCTTCGCAATTTTCGAAACATTTTCGAACAATTCCCAAATCATACCATATAACAAAGACGATGTTGCCTGCCATTACCGGTCCGAAAAGGCCGCTCTAAGCTTGTGCGGAACTATAGTAAGCGCCATCTTCTTTTACCCCCCTCGTCTTTTACGTAAATTTTTAGCGTGGAATCGTCCACTTCGACGAAAGCCATTACTACACCATTCATCCATTGCCGGGTAGATTCGCCCGGAATAGCTCGGTACCGCATATCCTCGTCCGCAACAACTTCAAGCATTCGAAACCCTCCAGACAAGGTTGCGCTCACGGCCACCGAAAAGTGTCCCATTCCAAAACGAAAGACGCACCGTGGCGAAGCAAGAGAGAGCTATTCCCAATCGACGGCCCAATTTTCGTCGAAACCGCCGTCTTCGTCGATCGCGACCTTTTCGACCACATGCAATCGAATTATCCCGTCGACACCGAAAGGGAGCTGATACGTTTCGTACTGGCAATGATAAACGCTGTAAGTGGAACACTTGGGGAATCGCCGAAGCTGAAAGTATTTTAGGTACAATTACTCTATCACGATCCGAGCTTGGGGCGACCCGTCAATTTTCTACTGAAACGTCTCGAGATACTCAAAGAGGAGGCGCCCGGTTTATCCAGGCCTCCGGACATCGACAGGTACTTGTCGAGTTTTTGCAACTGGCAAAGGACCAAGAATCCGGCCGGAGATCGCGAACCGCAGCACTGGGATCACGCGCTGATACTGACGGGACTTGATCTGTACGTCAGGAGCAAGCATGGGAAAATTTCTAGCCAGGTGGTTGGTAAGTAATGTTGTGGTCATTGGGGAAGGTAGTAGCCGGTTGTCTTTAGGCTTGGCGCCCGTTGCTGGCATGTGCGCACCTACTAGTAGCTGTACTGTAAACGAAGGGCGCCACTTTGAAAGCGTTTACGTGGTTGCACACGAGATTGGCCACAAGTAAGTGGGTGGGGGGTTGTTTCTCGGTTTTAACTATTCAAGTCTCTAGTTTAGGGATGAGGCACGATGGCCCACTTGCTGATAATGACTGTGATCCTAGTAGTTATATAATGTCGCCGACTTTAGGAAGTGGAAAGATCACCTGGTCCTCTTGCAGTCGTAGATATTTGCAACAGTTTTTAGAGTAAGTCGAGTGACTTCTGCGTGCGGGTAACACTGTACTTGCAGTACTCCCCAATCCCGCTGTCTTCTTGACCACGGCAGTTCTGCTGGGCAACTCGATCATAGCGCCGAAGGTGCTCTCCCTGGCGAGCGATTCGATGCCGATCAACAGTGCATGTTAAAATACGGCCAAGGTAGTAGGCATTCTTCGCAACAACCCCTAGACGATGTATGTAGAGATTTACATTGCGAACGCGAGAGGTACACGTGGACCTCTCATCCCGCGTTGGAAGGTACAGTCTGCGGTCCCAACCTGGTAATATTCCGAAAGTAATGCGCAATCTTAAAATCAAATTTCAGTGGTGCAGAGGAGGAAAGTGCGTGATTAAAGGACTCACCACCAACGCCGCTTACATTATGTCAGCTGGAGCGTCGGACGCATCCGATGTGGTTAACGGTGGTTGGAGTCCATGGAGACCCTTTAGTGATTGTGCTTCTGGTTGCCTTTACGGCGAAGAGGGGAGGTTACGTGCCGGGAGTACCGGAATTATGGTATCAACAAGAAGCTGTAATAATCCACGGTAAATTTCTACGTTTATTTAAAAAAATAAAAATCAAGCGCGCTTTTAGGCCACAAGGGGGAGGCAAAGAATGCGATGGGATAGATAAGAAATATCAATCTTGCAACGCGAAACAATGCCTCAATGTACCTCGTCTTACGATTCGAGAGTTTGCGGAACAAATATGTAGTCGGGCAAAAGATGTTGACAAAGATCTGACTGGGTCTGGGTTCCAGCGAATTAGTTCTGATTGTAAGTATTTTGAGATTGAATATAAAATTAGGAAGAAGTCTAAGCCTGTACTTTCGAATGGGTCTCCAAAAGTAACTTGAGCGATAGATGGAGCCACGAAATGAACGTGAAAAGTACCATTGGATTTATATGCGCGCTTTCCGAAGGCAGTCACTGCTCTTCCTTCTTTCTTACAGAGCGTTTTATGGGTAGGACAAAGAACTCTCCTACTTGCACTCATTCATTTGTTACCGTATACTTATGATGATAATAGGCGCGCGTACATAATTGAAAACGCTGCAAATGCCAATTTAGACACAGAAAATTTCATAGAACAAAAATTGTAGACAATTAAATTTACTATAAAAAAGTCCCCGACGGCATATATCTATCTTTAATCGTTTAGCCTTACCAACCATTTAAAGTTGTACCTAGTGTCCTTGTTGGTATCAATAATATCTTTGAACGCTTATCATATATTAATGATTATAGATAGATACATATACAGGGTGACACTTTTAAAACTTTCAATGGGCGATATCGTTTTTTATATTAGAGGTATCACAAAATGGCCAAAACCGTTTCGGTAGAATCGAGGGGGAACCAAAATGGTCATATAAAGAAGGAACCAACTTCAACCTCGTACCCCCCCGCCACCCCATGCTTAAATTTTGAATTGTGACGTATCACTTGTGATACATCATTGGAAAGCTCTTAAAAAATGTTTTTCCGAAATACCATACACTGGTACATTTAAACTGCCCATTCACAATTTATTACACTAAAATTTGAACTCCGCAAATAAACAACTTTTATTTAATAAAATGTTCAAAATGTTCACCGTTTTGTTCTAAACATTACCACAAACGGTTTTCAAATTCATTTCTAACATTTTTAAACACTTCCCTGGAAAGTGCACGGCACTCCCTGACTATCCGGTAGCGAAGATCATTTATGGAAGCTGGTTCAGTTTTGTACACAACCGATTTTAAATGACCCCAAAGAAAGAAATCCAATGGTGTCAGATCTGGAGATCGTGCTAGCCATTCTATAGGACCTCTTCGTCCTATCCGCTGTCCCGGAAATTTCTCATCTAAAAATTCACGAACAGCCATAGAGTAATGAGGAGGAGCCCCATCTTGTTGAAAATGTATGAAATCTTCAATCAAATTCATGTTTCCGTCAATTGGATTTATTTGATTCTCTATTTCATGAGTGATGAGAGGCTCGACGGTATTTTGTAGCATGTTTAGGTAAGTATCTCCAGTTATCACCTATCACCTAAGATACCTGCCCAGACGTTAATTTTTTGGGGCCGTTGAGTATGCCCCTCGCGAAAAAGATGAGGATTTTTATCGTCCCAATACCGGCAGTTATGTTTGTTCAATGTTCATGTGTACAATCTGCATCTTATAAGGGTAGAATTTGTGCACCTTAAGAGTTCGTCGTACAGTTTCTCGCGAGAGTCCGGTTAGATGATGTGGGGTTTGCACAAAAATGACCTAAAACTTCAATCTGAGTAGCTTCATCCATTATTCTTGGTCAGTCTCTTTTCTTATTTTCCACTGACCCAGTTTCTTTAAATTTAGTCACTAACATTGCAACATAAGTGTGACTGACACGTCGTTCTGGGTGTCGGGCATTAAAAACAGCTGCTGTTCTAAATGCAGTTCGCGCTTCAGAACCATAGGTGAAAATAATTTCAACTCTTTCGGCTAACGTGTACACCATTATGAAATCTTTAGTTAAATTCAAAATTTGTAATTTTCTTGACAAGAAATACTAAAAACGAGACTAAAATAATAATAACCGATCAACAAATAAAGCAATAGAAAATTACTAAAAATTGCTGTCATTGTTTTTCCAAAGCATCACTAGATCTAAGAAATTTTTTTTAATTTCAAACACTGACAAATTCATCAAATACTCAAATTACTCATTTTTATTACATAAATTGTGAATGGGCAGTTTAAATGTACCAGTGTATGGTATTTCTGAAAAGCATTTTTTAAGAGCTTTCCAATGATGTATCACAAGTGACACGTCACAATTCAAAATTTAGGCATGGGGGAGGCGGGGGGTACGAGGTTGAAGTTGGTTCCTTCTTTATACGACCATTTTGCTACCCCCTCGATTCTACCGAAACGGTTTTGGCCATTTTGTGATACCTCTAATATAAAAAACGATATCGCCCATTGAAAGTTTTAAAAGTGTCACCCTGTATGCTGTCGCGGACCTTTTTGTAGGAAATTAAATTCTCTACAATGTATGTTTTATGAGTTTTTCTGTACGAAGTTTCGTTTTCACAGCGTTTGAAAGTAAATGTGAGTACCTTTCGTTTTGTGACTGAATCTAAAATTCAAAGGTTGTGAGCAATTTTATGATACGCTTCAATGTTTTCCTACCACTATCTCTATTTGATAGGGTTTTGTGTGCTATTCAATTTTTATAAGGGGTGTCCTGTGCTAAACCCCCTAGATTTGAGGATATTGAATATTTTTCACAAAACAATAATAAATTACATGTTCATAAACAGGATCGAGTAAGTCGTGATAATAGAAACCAGAAGAATTCCAGTAAGCAAGTGTCACAAGTAAATTATCTGCTGCAATTAATGTGCTCCCTATTTCATAGTAAAATCAGATTAATTAAAAAGGCGAATATTTTTGATGTACGTCTCCATTACTCTAAAAAGGCGAATTTCGAACTAGTCTTGTTTAAAAAATCTTATTTTACTAGGAAATAATGAGTACACTTGCAGTGCAGCAAACAATTAATTTATGGCAGTTGTTTACTATTTGGCATTCTTTGGTTTTTTATTATCACAGTTTACTCCTGTTTATAAACATGTAATTCATTAATGTGTAACTGTTTAGTGAAAAATATTGAATAACTTAAAACTACTGGGTTCAGGCACAGGATATCCCTTCTAAGAATTGAAGAGCGCACAACAGACCATCGAATAGAGAAACAAAATAGTGGTAGTTCCATTAGAATAAAAATAGTTATAGCACTTTGAAATCTAGAAATTTTACAATTTTTTTGTAAACACCCTGTATGATTAAATCCAACTTTCTCATTACTTTCTCTTAACTTTAAAATCAAGGTCGCTACGATTTATCAAAGTGGGGTTGGTTTATAGAGAATTATTCGAAAAAAAATTAATAATTTGGCTTCCAGAGGTTAAAAAATGACATCGAATTAGCTAAAAATAAACATGCTGTTCCATTTAAAAAAATCAGCTGTGTATTGACACCGTAAACATGAGACACTCTGTACATTCAAAAATAATTTCTGTATTATGCATAACATTCTATAGTTGACATTTGCACAAAAGATTTTTTGCGATTTTTTACCAGGTATGAACTAGGAAAGACCGACGCAGTGTTATAGGACCCTGTATAATTGTTATAAAACGTAAAAAACGAAGAAAGAATGGGAAAATTTCGTCTTTTTTGCATTTGACTTCAATTATCTATTGCTCTGAGGGAAAATGAAGAGAAATGCATTTGTTTAGAATCCAATTTTCTATAAGATACAGTTGGTATGGAACGTTCATTTTCAAAAGTTGTTTTTTTATGGAACAGAACAATACGGTAACCGATCCCCGATCACCGTAGGTATCATGGTCATTGATTAATTAAAAATACAAATTAAAAAATCCGTGCTTTGTCTTTCAAAGTGGGTGACTTCCAGATTCTCCCCCAATTCCTTCTGCTAGTGGATCCCTAAGCCGAGATGCTGTTTTCGCGAGCTTATTTAGGCATGATTTAGCTACTTTTTCATGAAAAAAAAATCGAACCAATGCATTTAATTTTTTTGAGCAAATTAACCATTTCTGTCAGAATGTCGAAAAAAGCCCTCAAGCGGTGATATTTGAAACTAACAAAACTTCAGATAGTATAATATTTGTAGCTGAACAATAGCTCTTTTGAACTAACCCGAGTTTGTTTAAATCGGCTCAGCCGTTTCGAAGATACAGGGTGTTCTTTACGGAAACCTTTGAATACCCCCCACCACTTCAGTTTTAGAGATACAGGAAAAATTGTCAAACAAAAAAGGTTCAGATTATCGTCAACTTCAAAGACCGGACATTTTTTTGTTAGGTTAATATAGCGGAATTCACAGAAAAATCACTTTTTTAGATTCCAGGTTGCAGTTACGCCCCCTAGCGGCCATTGCAGAAACTTAAAAATATTTTCCAGGTTTTTGTCGTGGCCGTTTTAGTAATATTTTTTTTACCGCAAGCCTCTACGATGGATAGATTCTCAGATACAGTACCTCGCATTCTTAGTTGGCCACCCTGTACATTAAAAAAAATACGTCGAACTCAAGGATTATAAACTACAATGTTTATAATCCTTGCGTCGAACTCCGTGAATTTGTAAAAATCATCCAGACAACTTTTGGAAAAGGTTGCTTTGGGGTTCCACCAACTGTACAAAAATTTAGAACGCTATGAGAGTTACCCAATTTGTTTGTTTATTTAATCAATGGCTATGATACCTACGGTGATCGGGTTTGTCGTATTGTTTTGTTATCAAAAGAAAGGACCAAATACGGATTTTCAAAAAGATCGGATGAATTTTACTCAGTAATATCAGATTGTTAATTTTCGGAAATGCGTTTTTTATATGTCTCCATAAAAAACAATAACAATTAAGAATGAACGTTCCATACTAAATGTCTGGTCTACATAGACAATTCGATTCTAAACAAATTCACTTGAATACCTCACCGGAAAAAAAATGGAAAAGTTCATAAAAATATCACTTCTCTTCATTTTTTCCCTCGGGGCAATAGTTAACGAGATAATTGCAGTCAAATGCGAGAAATAACATTTTCCCATTTTTTTCTTCATTTTTTGTGTATAACAATATATTTCGGGGGTTTCCGGCCAGGGAATTATGATTTTCGGATGTTTTTACATAGAGTACACTTGGTTTCGTTGAGTGAAATGACAACCAGCCCAAACCGTACTTTTTGATAAATTATAGGGCTTTGCTTCGCGCGCTTCTGATAGTGTATTATTAGTATGGGTAAAAATAACCGTGTAAAAAGTATAGCAAACGAGCTCTTGGGTATGGCTATAGTATGTTCAAAACCAAATTGAACCTGGTATTAGATCTGCTTTTATTCCAAGTGCATATGTATAAAATTTCCAAAATGCCTTCTATAATAGTGTACGTTTATGGACGAACACCATAGGTATTTTTAATATGTCCCTAAGGCAGTTTGAAAGATCGTGTGACAATATCTATTGAATATAGCGCAGCATAACACAGCAAAATGGAAATAAAACGTATTTTTATTTATTGACTAAACTCAATCTGACATTATATTTTTCTATTACTCAAAGCCAACCTATAGATAAAAAGAGTTCTAAACTGTGATCTCCTACAATATCCAAGGACTTTAAAAAATTGTTCACAGCAATTTTTTTCTTGTTTATTTCTTTTGTTTTTTTTATTTTAATACTCTTAACTTAAAATATATTTTTGATATTCTTTATGTTTTCGAATAGTTTTTTTTATTAACAATACATGAACATTGTTATTGGGGTAACCTGTTATGTTCATAAATAAATAAATAAGTAAATAAGAAAGGTGGCACTGCGCATGCGCAAAACCAAATTTTGAAAATGGCGTTACATTTGCTTCTATTCCAACAATGAATAAAGTATTCCAAGTGCATATGTATCAAATGTCATTTAAATACATTTATAAATTAAAAAAAGTTTGCAATTCGGTTCATAAATGGCCGAGATACCAAAAGAGCACTATGCATTTTGAATCGATTAGGCTTAACTTTTGCCATTGCGTATTATATTGCTAAAGCTGTGCCCATATTGAATTTCATACAGTTCATTTTATAACTCACGGAGTTGTCAAAAGTGTCTTCTTTATTTTTTGGGCTACAGTGCCAATTCAAGAACTCTGATCTACAAACTCATTCGTTTTCGGGATATCGTGCTAACGGACAGAGACCAAATTATATACTCGCAAGGAGCTCGATAATAAGTGAATTGCACTAATAATAAAAATAAGAACATCATTTTTGTCATTTCCCATTTTCGCATACTTCCCTTGCGCTTTGAGCAGAACGTCAAAAAAATAACGACAGTTTCAATTTTTACAACACTTCGATCATCCCAACTGGAATCCCCAAAAGGACCTGAAATTATTATAAGATGTAGGTCAAGGGTTCGAGTCGTACCTACGCCAGATCCTTTTTTAACTAAAAAGTTTATTAAAAGTTCAAAATTAAGATGTGCGTACATTTTTTTACAAACGCTGAGAAAACAAAAAGAGATACAAAAAAAGTTAGAAAAGATAAATTGTAGAGAATTTAATTTCCTACAAAAAAGTCCCCGATGGCATATATGTATCTTCAACCCTTAATATATGATAAGCAATCAAAGATTCTATGAATGCCAACGCAATCAAGATGCGCAACTTTAAATGGTTGATATGGCTAAACGATTAAAGATAGATATATACCGTCGCGGACTTTTTTGTAGAACATTTAATTGTCCCCAATTTTTTTGTGTATCTCAATTGGTATCGGCAGCGTTTTCATTTAAAGCGCGCGCGACTATTATACGTACCAACAAAAGAATACAGTATTGAAATCTTCAGTGCAAACGCAATTCGTAGCATAAATTCGCTATAAAACCGATTATATTATTATAAAAGTGGGAGAGGTACACCTTGCTTCTCCCCCGATTTTCATGGAACCACAAATTCCCATTTAGTTAGACTTCTTCCTAATTTTATATTCAAAGACGCTAGTGAGAGAGATTACGAGTGCGGGGAATCGTCTCGAGAACAACAATTTTATTTCAAATTACTAACTCATACAATTTGTGCATTCAAGCGTTTTTTAAAATGAATCTTTTTGTGCCAGCTGAAGAAGCGTGTACCGTATGGTGTCAAAAGCGCAACGGAGGACAAAAGAGTCGAGGATGGACCTTTCCAGATGGAACCGCGTGCCAAATCGAAAGAAGTCACAGGTACACAAAGCCAAGTTATTGTATAAACGGGCACTGCAAGGAGTTTGTGTGCGAGCCCTACGATGAAGTACCATTCGCTCAATTGCCCGATTTGTGTCCCTATGACAGAGAAGATAACGAGATATCGTGGTCCACGCTGCTACGCCGAGATAGTCGAGATCAATGGAGCAGTGCGAGTGGATGTCATTTTAACTGCATTTCTCCCGGATCCGGAATACGATTGGTGGTCAATAAGTTAAAACGCGCTCGGTCCAGTATACAGTTGTGCTACCCCGACCAATATGTAATGTTGTAATTGATCTAAGTATTTCCTCTGATTGTTGTTTGTAGGGTTGCAACCGTATAAAAAGCGCGTATCAACATGCGTCACGTGTTTGCAACGATTATAAGGAGCGTGTCAGCAGGTTGTCCGGTTTTGGGATGCAGCTAACTTCAGCAGTAGGTTAGTAGTTCGATTCTTAAATAAGTTACTCTTTATATCATTTTGTACAGAGGACCCAGACCGGCCTTGCCGAGTAGCATGTCAAGATGAGAATATAAATCATCGCTTCTATTTGGTAAATGGAGAAGAAGGTTGGTTTCCGTTTGGTACCGACTGTTCTAAAGGTGCTCCAGATAAAAAAGCGTTTTGCATTAGCGGAAAATGCCTGGTTGTACTTACCCATTGTTTTACTTTTTATGCTTATATTTAATTTTGTAGAAATTTGGCCCAGATGACACGCCACTGTCCGAAAGTGAATTTACCCTTCCTTTGCTTTCACGCACAAAGCGATCTTTGCATAATAACGGTACAAAAGTGACAGCAATTTTAGACGATACGACTTTAGAAGATATTATTCGAAGTTTTAACAGAACTCTGACAGGTGAGACTTTTTCGGGAAGTAAATGGCACTGTATTAAATCTTTGTAGGGGACTATCCAATACCTCAAATTCCACACTACGATATCGACTTAAACAACCCAATACATGTTAATATGGATATGGATATGACTGCCTTAGATGAACCTGCTACCTACTACTACCCTGTAAAAATCGGACGTGCTTATATTTATACCTAGAAACATAGTTTGTCATCATTTGTAATATACACTATACTTTACTTACCATTCATTAAAAAAACAAAGACTATACTCTACCGTTTGCATTATTTTAAAGTTAAACGCACACATGCCACTCTGCGACTTGTAAAAACTACATCAAAAGGTAGGTATGGGGAAATAATTAAATTAAATAAAGTCAAGGGACTGTAACGTTTGATGTAGTGATCAAATCAGAAAACCATTGGGAATTTTGGATTCTACAGGCCACATTCTATAAGGAAATTTTTTTTCCGGCCGATCTGAGACAATTTTTGTTCCGGCCAAAAAAAAGGCAGTGTATAACCTTCCTTTTTTTCAAAAATCGACTACACCAAAATTTCTCGGGAAAACACTTTTTCGTATTAATTTTGGTGCGTAGAATCCAAAACAATTCGTACTTTTTCGATCAGACTTCTCAATCAAAAGTTATAGACTAGAAACCAATTTCGAAAGAAAATTCAAAGGGCTGTAACTTTTGAACTAGTAGCCCAATCTTGGAACTGTTTGAAATTATGGATTCTAGAGGCCACATCCTATAAGAAAATTTTTTCCCGGGTCGATCTGAGACAATTTTTTTTTCGGGGCTCAAAAAAAGGCAGTGTATAACCTTCCTTTTTTACCAAAAATCGACTACCCCAAAATTTCTCGGGAAAACACTTTTTCTTATTAATTTGGGTGCGTAGAATCCAAATCAATTCGTACTTTTTCGATCAGACTTCTCAATCAAAAGTTATAGACTAGAACCCAATTTCGAAAAAAAATTCAAAGGGCTGTAACTTTTGAAAATTCAAAGGGCTGTACCTTTTGAACTAGTAACCCAATCTTGGAACTGTTTGAAATTATGGATTCTACAGGCCACATTCTATAAGAAAATTTTTTTCCGGGTCGATCTGAGACAATTTTTTTTTCGGTGCTCAAAAAAAGGCAGTGTAATAACCTTCCTTTTTTACCAAAAATCGACTACACCAAAATTTCTCGGGAAAACACTTTTTCTTATTAATTTTGGTGCGTAGAATCCAAAACATTTCGTACTTTTTCGATCAGACTTCTCAATCAAAAGTTATAGACTAGAAACCAAATTCGTAAGAAATTTCAAAGGGCTGTATAACTTTTGATCTAGTAGCCCAATCTTGGAACTGTTTGAAATTATGGATTCTAGAGGCCACATTCTATAAGGAAATTTTTTTTCCGGCCGATCTGAGACAATTTTTTTTTCGGCCAAAAAAAAGGCATAGTATAACCTTCCTTTTTTTCAAAAATCGACTACACCAAAATTTCTCGGGAAAACACTTTTTCGTATTAATTTTGGTGCGTAGAATCCAAAACGATTCGTACTTTTTCGATTAGACGTCTCAATCAAAAGTTATAGACTAGAAACCAAATTCGTAAGAAACTTCAAAAGGCTGTAACTTTTGATCTAGTAGCCCAATCTTGGAACTGTTTGAAATTATGGATTCTAGAGGCCACATTCTATAAGGAAATTTTTTTTCCGGCCGATCTGAGACAATTTTTTTTCGACCAAAAAAAAGGCATAGTATAACCTTCCTTTTTTTCAAAAATCGACTACACCAAAATTTCTCGGGAAAACACTTTTTCGTATTAATTTTGGTGCGTAGAATCCAAAACGATTCGTACTTTTTCGATTAGACGTCTCAATCAAAAGTTATAGACTAGAAACCAAATTCGTAAGAAACTTCAAAGGGCTGTAACTTTTGATCTAGTAGCCCAATCTTGGAACTGTTTGAAATTATGGATTCTAGAGGCCACATTCTATAAGGAAATTTTTTTTCCGGCCGATCTGAGACAATTTTTTTTTCGGCTAAAAAAAGGCAGTGTATAACCTTCCTTTTTTTCAAAAATCGACTACACCAAAATTTCTCGGGAAAACACTTTTTCGTATTAATTTTGGTGCGTAGAATCCAAAACGATTCGTACTTTTTCGATTAGACGTCTCAATCAAAAGTTATATACTAGAAACCAATTTCGTAAGAAATTTCAAAGGGCTGTAACTATTTGAAGTAATTGCCCAATTCTACAAATTTTTTTTCAGATTCTAAATCAAACTATAAGAAAAAGTGTTTTCCCTCTCAACAGAGTGGTTTGAAGGTGGCACAGTGAAAAATATTTGGAAAATTAAAAAAATTTATTACACTTGAACTAAACATCTTCCAGTTAATACAGTTTTATTTTAAACTAAACTTTTTAATGTCTTCCATCACTAGTTATGTAATACTGTTGTAAAAATACATTTAACACATTTTTTTCAAAACAGACTCGTATAGACACAAAAAATTTTCTAAACTAACAATGCAATTGTAAGTTTACATTAAGCTAATGCAAAACGGGAAACATTCGGAGTAAGAATTTTTAAAGTATTATTCTATTCAATTGTAAATTTATAATGGAATTTGAAACATAGGAGACATTTTACAGCGTGGCATACAAAAATGAAACAACTTTGTACATGACGAGAGTTGTACAATAATTATAAGTTTTTCTATAGAATACAATTTGAAAACAATCTATGGACACGGAGATAAAATTTATAATACGTGGGCTTCTTACCAATTACAAAATATTACAAAATCAGTTTTTCGTTTTTGTGATAGTGAACGAAAAACCAATTCAGATAAGCGAGCCCCCATTAAACAATTTTTTTTCATTATTTGGCAGGAACCACATCAATTATAATAAAATTTACAAGGCATCATTTGTCAAGCAGTCTTTTTTGCACGATAAATATTGTAGACTACTTCATTCTTTATTACACTGTAATTACTCTTTCATATTTAATGTGGCATCATTTTTACTTTCAAGCCACCATGCAAAACGTTGTAACGCAACTTGACTACTGCAGGACGGCACTTGATCAACATTAGAATGAAATTCTTGCGCTTAGATATAATATGTATATAACATTACCAAACTTAACAATTAAAATAATAATAAAAACAGTTGTGCTTAAAATTGCCAAGTTCCTACGATGATTTCAAAATAAAGCTAAAAGTAAAAAAAGTACTAAAACATAATTGGTTTATCTTTCGTTTGATTTGTTACATATGATGTAAATCGTTTTAGAAATTTCGGATATTCTCTCTTGTAAAGGGCTCTTAAGACGGACGCAGGCGCCCAGCCGCCGGGATTCACTAGAAACAAAGTTAACACAAGCGAATACGTACGTTCCACAACTTACCGACAGAGCAGTATGTAATTTTACACGAAATATTGTCCCTCGTTATCGGTGTACCTTCCTTCGGCGGGATTACTCGAGTTTGACACAACATACAGACGGTAAGGAATATTCTCACACATTTTCCAGAGTTTGCCTTAAAACAAACCAGTTAATAACAAACAAAAAAACAGCAGAATAAGTAACAGTCAATAAAGTAATTATTTACTAAAAAGTTCATTCAAACCTACAGGGTGTCCCATGATGAATGGTGGGTATGTACCTATATCTGGAAAAGGAGACCTTGGAATATTTTGACAGTTTTAATGTCAATAAGAAAAATTCATTTAAAATAGTTTTGCGAGTAAGGCTACTAGGTAATTTGGAACTACAATATAACATTAAACAATAAGAGTGACACACCTAGAAATAGAGACAGGTAATTCTTGACTTTAATTATGAGTCTACTGTCAAGTTCAAAATATGCGTAGGTTCCCTTTTCGATCTATAGATAGCTGACACCCTGTATTGCTTGGGGGGGGGTTAATGATTATATTACCATAAGAAAGTGAGTAAACGTACAGGATAATCCTTATGTTCTGTCGAATGGTTAACGACTGTCCAAATATCGGGCCCATCGCGATCTTGATCATTTGGTAAGTGCCGAATATGTGACCAAAAGATGACGTCCCTTTGACTTGCTGGCCAAATTCGTTTGTGAGTTTGTAAAAATAGACAAGAATCGTCGGCTATTGTTTCCAAAACTGTCATTTGTTCTAAAGTCGCTGAAATAAGGAAGAAACGATACTAATTTGCGAAGTATAACCACTAAAACCTTACTTTCCCAGTCGTAACGATACTGTGGACTAAAGAAGTAATGACAAACTTCGTGTCCGGTGATACCCTTCACAATATGCACTGCCTTTAGTGGATCCACGACCATTCCGTCGACCTCCTCCTCGCGCCGGTACATCCTCATCTCACCGTCTTCGGCAAACAACTGCCAACCCGTCCCGGAGTCTCCCAAACCTAACCGTGCCCAAGCCACTTGTTGGTGTACCACCTGTTCAATCTGCAATAAACAATCGAATTTATTAACGGAAAAGAATCTGCAAGTCTTTACCTCGGGCCATAAACGATGACTTGCTGACGGACAGGTAGGTGGCGGTGTTACCGGCACTGCCGTACCACTCTTTATCCTCTCTCTCAGTTCTTGTTCTTCCTCGATTTTATCAAGCCCTGATTCGACGGCATCGTAAAATTCATCATCTGCGATTATACTGTGGGGTCCTTCCTAAAAATGATACAAATAAATACATTTTTTAAAAATGTGCTGAAATAGATTCGATTTAACCGTAACATTATTAGCGTAATATTTACCAGGGCATTATCTCATGCTTTTCTCCGGTCGCAGATAAGAAGTTTTCCTATCACTGCGTACGCTAATTAATACATCAATTAATTGTGTGTGTTTTTTTAAATAGTCACAGTAACAAGAACCACCCCAGACGATGATGTTGCAAAATGTTGAAAAATCTACCAATTTTTTCCCGCACATTGTTATGAATCAATCAGCTTACTCTAAATGATTGTTTTTAAATATTAATTAAACACTTACCATTCATGTTTGTTTTAAATCAATACTAACAGTTCCTGGGTTATATTTAAAAGTTATGGTGGCAATAGAAAAAGGTGACAAGCATTTTTGAATTATCAATTGTTCACGGTCGCAAGTAAAATCATACATATTTACAACGGCGTTAATGATATTTGCGGTCAAAGTGCATTATACCACGTATCTAATCATGAAGGGCGACATTAACATACCAATTTTAAATAAGTCTATCTATTAAGTCAAAGTGTTAAGAGGGGCAAGGGCAATCTATTGGTGGAGAACCATGCTGATCTGGGATTGGAAGAGCCCTTAAAAATCGGTATACTTATCCTACATGATTTGTACAAGATAAGGAACCATAGAAAATACGATGATGGTCAAATTAGAGAAAAGTTGCGCAATTAAAGCGTCATTATCATGCTTTAAAGAATACCAGAAAATACCGATTACTTCTGAAGATATGCCAGAAGAACCCGAATTTGGCATCATCAACTTTTTATGTATATGGTCCATAAAAAAAGTACATACTGTATTGAGAAGCATTCTTTATTATTACGGCACATAAAAAAAACAAAAGGTAGAAAACTGGTTTCAACAGGAGGGTGCACCTGAGCACAACCCCCTAATCGTGCGAGAGTTTAATTGCGCAACTTTTCCCTAATTTGACCATCTTTGTATCCTTTACGGTTTCCGAGATTCCCATGATAGACATCCTTATCTCGGACACGATTTTATCGTATTTTTATTTGAAAAAGTTCTTTCCAGGAAAAGATAAAGGCGCGTTGTAAAACTAAAAATAGTCCACATTCATTTGACCTAAATTTTGCTTTATATAAACAGCTACATCAGAGATAGCATTTAGAAACTTCTACGGGGCTAATTATAATATATCAAAAATTTTCAACAATTATATTAAATAAAAAGTGCGATTTAAGTGTTTGAAGTTAGATGGTGCTTTGATCTCTGCTACCAAGTTTTCATTCCTGAGTGTACAGGGTGGCCAAATAAGAATGCGAGGTACTGTATCTGGGAACCTGTCCATCGTAGAGGCCTGCGGTAAAAAAATTTATTACTAAAACGGCCACGAGAAAAACCTAGAAAATATTTTTAAGTTTCTGCAATGGCCGCTAGGGGGCGTAACTGCAATCTGGAATTTAAAAGTGACTTTTCTGTGAATTCCGCTATATTAACCTAACAAAAAAATGTCCGGTCTTTGAAGACGACGATAATCTGAACCTTTTTTGTTTGACAATTTTTCCTGTATCTCTAAAAATGAAGTGGTGGGGGGTATTCAAAGGTTTCCGTAAAGAACACCCTGTATCTTCAAAACGACTGAGCCGATTTTAACAAACTCGGGTTAATTGAAAAGAGTTATTCTTCAAATATTATAATATTTGAAGTTTTGTTAGTCTCACATATCGCCGCTTGAGGGCTTTTTTCGACATTCCGGCAGAAATGGTTAATTTTCTCAAAAATATTAAATGCGTTGATTTGATTTTTTTTTCATGAAAAAGTAGCTAAATGATGCAAGCTCGCGAAAACCGCATCTCGATATCTTGTTCCTAACCTAAAATTTAGGCAAAAGAAAATTGTATACCCTCAAAATTTTATTTTTTTAAGCTAATTTTTCCGGAATTATTTTTATTATATAATTTGTAGCCCTAAGATGGATCGATTTAAAAAAGGAAGCTTTTAATGTCGCCGTAAATGCTCGAAATGCTGGCCATCACGATATAAAAAAATATATATATATCTCAAAATTTGGCCACCCTGTACATACTGTATTGAGAAGCATTCTTTATTAGTACGGCACACAAAAAAACAAAAGGTAGAAAACTGGTTTCAACAAGATGGTGTACCTGAGCACAACCCCCTAATCGTGCGAGAGTTTAATTGCGCAACTTTTCTCTAATTTGCTTTTTTTACGCTAAATTTTCGGGCAGTCATCCTCCTTATCCATCAAGCAAGCATTCTTTGTCATCTAATTCTGTGTTATAAAGTACGCAAGTTCAGAAGCTGTCACCGCTTCTGTGTGATTTAAGTGCGCCTAGTATCCCAAACCTTTTACAACCAGATTATTTGGATTATTAAAAAAAAACTGTAAATGATTTAAGATTTCTTATTTTAATTGTCGCCCGCCTGCGTGCGAGGTAATATGTTTCTGCATTCTTCCCTAAAACGTTGAGGGCCCCTAGCACTTCGAACATAATTTTGCAAAATTTTTCATAAGATGACTTAGGGCTGAACATGTTGTGGGTGAACCTAGCACCTAGGAGTATAGAATACCCCCCCCCCACTATACGAATATCTTATGAAAATTGATTCTGTCTTCTTTCTGGGGGGTATTCTATACCCACCAGACCCTCCGGTTCTGCATTATTCCCTAAAATGATTAGGGCCCCTAGCACTTGCACCATAATTTTTCATAAGAGGACTTAGGGCTGAATATGTTGTGGGTGAACCTAGCATCTAGAAGTATAGAATACCCCCCCCCCCCCCGTATACGAATATCTTATGAAAATTGATTCTGTCTTCTTCCTGTGCGGTATGCCATTTTAAGAAGGTAGCAGTAAAAAGCATAGGGAAACTTTGACTTTCAGTGTGATTGGTTAAAACACGAGTCAGTATTACAGTGAAACATCAAGCTGGTAGTTTCTGTTGCGAACTAAACTGTTGAAATGTCATTAGGTGTTAATGTCAAAGATTTATTTCTGTTTACGGTGCTGGATATTTCTACTTTACAATAATTTGGGGCCGTTTTATATTTTTCCTGTGTGTGTTTATCTTCAAACACAGTGCCATCTACTACCTTCTTATAATGAATGAAGTATAGGGGTATAGAATACCCCCCCCCCCACTATACGAATATCTTATGAAAATTGATTCTGTCTTCTTCCTGTGGGGTATGCCATACCCCCCAGTTCTGCATTGCAGTGTAACGAAAATTGATTCTGTCTTCTTCGGTGGGTCCGGGGGTATGCAATACATCTGCCTAGTACACGCATATCCTAAAACTATGGAACAATTTACCAGTGAGTGTACAATTGATTGGAGAGTCTAAAGCCGGGCTCAGACGACTCGTGTACTTGGCATGTCGTGTGAGTGGGTTACTTGTACAATTAATTGTCACTCGTTAGTTTTCCATTTCTTGTCGGTAAAATTGGTCCGAGTCAAAGGGATCACGATTATTCGCACACTTGCCAAGTACATACTTATCTATACTTGTAGAGGCGCTCAAACGGAATGCACAAATAATTTGCCTTTAGTGCGATTATTAATTTAGTTTTCAGTTAAAGACGGAAGCGTACAGACGTTTTTTTTTTGTTTTTTTTCTTTTTTTATTGAAATGGAGTGGACAAATGAGATTGTGTTGGAATTTCTTGTTTTTTATGAAAATGAGCCGGTCATTTGGATGGCTAAACACAAAGACCATAAAAATCGAAATGCAGTTAATGATGCCTGGAAAAGGATACAAGTGTTACAAATGTTCGCCCCAAATATTCGCCCTCGCGTACTTGTACAATGTACACGTCGTGTGAGTGTCCTGCTTGCCATCGCAACTCGCCAAGCTCGTATACTTCCCAAGTACGCAAATAATTGTGTATTCGCCAAGTACACGAGTCGTCTGAGCCCGGCTTAAGACCTTTACTCGAGTGTGCTTGAATATCATAAAAAATGATGTCACAAATTTTTGATAAGATTCTTTACTACTCTTTCATTCTTTTATTGTTTGTTTATGTTTTCTTCTATCGCTACATTATTGTATTTTTTGGTGTAGAATGCCACTTATTGTTATGTAAGCTCGTAGGGGGGGATTGATGGCTGCAAAGCTTTTCCTACCCCTTAATAAAGAAATATTATTATTATTATTATTATTATTATTATATCCTATGACAGTTGTAGGGCAATGAAGATTGATTCTGTTTTTTCCTGGGGGGGTGGGGGGTTATTCCAGAATCTACTTTCTTCCATAAAACCTTTAGGGCCCTTGCCACTTGCACCATAATTTTTCGTGTCATCAGCAATAGATACTTTTTTCAATTCTGTTTGCCTGATGCTGAATTTTTGCGCTTCTTTAGATGGCATTGGCCCGAACGATTTCACTCTTGGTTACCAAGAGGATTTGACATGACAACCAGGAGGTACAAGGAGCTTCTTTCTTTACCGTTCTCCTCCCCTGGCGCCGAAATTGCCAACGTGCTCTGCTAGTTCCAAACTATTTCTCGTTAAGAAATACAACAAAATTTTGAAGTCACATGATATAGACAGTGGCGTAACTAGGTGGGTGCCAAAGGTGTCGCGGCACCGCGCTCTGAAGGCGGGAGGACGCGCCGGAGCCGCTGAAGCACCGAGGGCACTAAGCCGGGATGGGCTGTACGCGCTGTACCGTATAGGCCAGTCATAAAAGCCAAGAACGGCGGTTAAATTCTAATAATTTGCTAAAGACGAATACAGGGTGCACTGAAATATAATTAAAACTAAATTTACGGTCCATTAAGATGAACGGACATCCAAGGGATTTCAGCGCATTTTTGTGTGGCAGATTAGTACTTTTATTAGCCAGTTTTGACTCCACAATCAATAAGATCTTGTCGAGGGCTACCACATTCGCTTTGTCGGTACCCACTTCTGCCCCCCACAGACGCCGGATGTATACAAAGTTTGAATCAAAACACTACCACGCTATGTTAAGTGCCTCAATATGGATGTTGAAAAACAGCCTATGAGTGTAGCTTCCAAATGTATATAATAAAAAAAAGTTGTTTCTTACACTTTCTTAATAATTTTTTATTTCAAAACGTCTGTTACTTTCTGAATAGCCCTTGTAGAACAAAGTTACAGCGGTAGGAAAAAGCTGCAAATTTAAACTAATAATAATAATAATACTTTATTTGTGATCTATACAATAGTCTGTATTAGTGTGACCAGCATTTGCACGCAATCATTTCTACGACTTGTGCCCCATGGCATAGCTAAATTTGACGCGAGAATTGAAAACATTATAAATAAATGTATTTCTATTCTTCCTTGAGTGAAAGCATCTTTTTAAAATGTAAGTATGCAAAATTTGTGTGTAAATTCGAAAGGGTGCAGTGCTTTTAAAATTTCGTGTAATGTTTCTCTCAAAAATGGACAGTGTTTTATTAATTAGAGCTCACTGTTAACTAATAAGGCGCCAAAATATGGTAGGGTGCCAAAACCTGATCTGGCACCGCTTCGAAAAATACAGTTACGCCTCTACAAAAAAACCCTCTTTTTCTAATAAAAGCAAACTAATCGCATATAATGGGGGGGGGGGGGGGGGGGGGTAGTATTTGAAGTTAATGTGAATATCTCAAAAGCATATTTTTCGGAAAGGGTACTAAATGATGCCTGTTTCATACTAAGGTGTTCAGGTTGCCTCGTAGATCAGTGGTTCTCAACAGGTGGGTCGCGAAATTCAAGTGAAAAATCAAAAACAATTATTGTTACAATAATTTATTTATAAAGAAACAGAAACATTGTACATTTGTTCAACTCGGCTAATGCAACCGTTGAACGTGTTTGGAATCAACTATTGTCTATGTTTTTATTATACAGGGTGACAATTTGAAAACTTACCACTCCCCATATCTTAGGATTTTGATTTTTTTAAATATCTTGTTTATTTACTAAGATATGGGGGGTGGTAAGTTTTCAAATTGTCACCCTGTATATTTAAAAAAAATTGTAATTCATAGGGGAATCGGCAAAATGCTCAAATCTAAAAAGGGGAGTCTAAAAGATGGAGAACCACTGTCATAGATGATTAATTGTGGAAAAGTATAATATATTGTAGGAGATAAAACGGTTGATCTCTTTTACCTATTTAAAAACATCTAACGAGGTCTTTTGCATTGATTTTTCGCGGAACTATTTTAATGACTTATCAGGAATTGACCCTTTCAGAAAAATTAACCTCTGATTTGCAAAGAAGTTTATGGGGGGCCTCCCGAACTCTATTACAATAGCAAAATTTGATATATAAAGGGCTAACTTCACCAGGCGCAATCAACGATTGCTCTGTAGAACATTCAAACGTTGATCCTTTATCCAAGATTAAGTTTGAACTATTGCACAAATTTGTTTATCTTTACAAAAACATGTTCCGACCTCAGTTGAACGCTCTTAGATAATAACCTGATTAAAAATTCCAAAACGTGGATTGAAATTTGTGTGATTTCAGATGAAAAGAAAGCTATGATCTGTTACTGCTTGAGCAAATTAATAACAAACAATTTGAAAAGAAAAGGTCAATTGAAACACTTACGCATATTGCAGAGGCACTTTTATATAAGTTTCTGGTCTTGTTACGCATTCTGTACTGATATAATTTCACTTGTTGCAACTTTATTAGCCACACAATACACAGGCAATGATATAATATCAACGAATTACTATTCGAAAAGTACAACGCGTTTTGTAACACTTCAAAAAAGAAATTTCATTTGCATTACTTGTATACAACTGACCGATAAACTCCCAACTAATATTGGATGCTGCCCATTTTAATCGACGTCTTATCGTTTGTGATAACATTATTAATTACAACACACTTGCTACATTTCAATAACAAGCAGTGAGACACCAGCAGATGACTCAATCTCAAAGGGGATGTTGATAAACTTTTCCTTTATGATAAGCGACACGCACTCACCTCCAAGTCCGGTCCAGGATGTACGTTACGTATCTTCTGCAGTTGCTCGAAGTAGGTTTTGGCCAAGCACTCCGATCGCCTCCGCCGCTCGCCCTCGCGCTCCATTCGTTTCCTCCACATCTCCTCGCGCTGCACGACGAGATCTATGCAGTGCGCCAGGGTGTCCAAAACGCCCGCCGTTGTCGCCTTAAAAGTGATCGCCTCCCCACGAAAATCGACCGCAGGAATACTCCCTAAAAATCCACTCTATTACTCACTTCTACAAAAGAGTAGAAGGAACGGCCACATGAAAATACTCGAGCGCGTCAGATATTGATAGTGTCTCTGATATTGGAGGTATGTTAATTTGCTGGTTTGCATGGTGAAGGTGGCTGTATGGAAGGGTAGAAAACGCGTCAGACCTGTAGAGCGTTGTACGTATAACTATGACGCGGTAACGTTTTTTTGTTGCAAGTTTGTTACCTTCCCACTCCCTCACGTCACGCTCAAATCGTCAGATTATTGAAAATGCACACTTTTCAACACGTAGTCAACCCACCTTACTTTAATCTGACGCGCTCGAGTAAAACCCAAAATCCTATATTAGGCTCTCCTACTATTGGTTGGATCTCCACTTTAAAATCCCCCTCCCAAAGAAATGCAATTCCAAATGAAGGTCCCAATTTTGTGCATGTTTTTCATTTTGTGAAATGTGAAATCTTTTAATGTTTTTGAAAAACATAATTTAAAAAAAATGCTCCAAAAATTTTTGAAGAAAAAATGTTCCAACTTTAGAAAATCCGGGTGACTACATTAAAAAAAATTGAGTCTGTGGCACTTCAAGTTTTAAAAATAAAATAGAAGTTTTGAAGATGGCGAGGTATTACACAAAAATTCTGACAAAATTCTCAACTTTAAAAAATTATGATACAAAAGTACACTAAAAAGTTTAAAAAAATGTTTTTTTATTTCCAAGATGGCATGTACCAAAATTCTGCTAAAAAATGTTCAAGTTTAAACAATCTGAATTATTTCATAAAATTAAATTTGGAAGAATTTGATAAAAAAATTTCAACACTAGAAGCTCGTCGATAATTTTTTTCAGAAAATTAAACCTTTTAACAATAGATTTTCATTTCATTTTTTAAAAGGTAAGATTTCTATTACTTTAGAATTTAGCATGGGCGTGTGTTTCAAAAATTCTAAACGCCCCAAAATCTCAGTAGTTACATTTTTTTAAGAACAACTGAGCCTGTAGCTTCAGCTATGACAAATAAATTACACAAAAAATAAAGTACTAATTTTATGCGCCAGTTTCAAAAATTCAAAAAAATTCTAAACGTTGCAGAATATCAGTAGTTACATTTTTTAAAAACAACTGAGCCTGTAACTACACCTTTGACAGATATAGTACACAAAAAATATAGTATTATTCTTATAGTGGGCGCAGTGTTTCAAAAATTATGAAAAATTCTAAACGTTGCAAAATCGGAATAGTTACATCCTTTTAAAAAACAACTGAGCCTTTAGCTTTCCGTTTGACAGATACATTAAACAAAAAATAAAGTACTATTTTTATAGAGGGCGCAGTTAAAAAAATTCTAAACGTTGCAGAATATCAGTAGTTACATTTTAAAAAAACAACTTTCAAAATTCTAAAAAAATACATACATAATTCTAAACTGTAAAGAATCCCAGTAGTTGCATTCTATTAAAAACGTGATCCTGTATGGCTTCACCCTTAAAAAAATGAAATAACATACGCTATTTTAAAATTTTTGCGTTCCAAAAATTTTCATGTTAGAAAACCCCAGTAATTGAGCATTTAAAGATACCTTTAAAGGTCAAATAAATACCCACAAAATTAGGTTTTTTTAAAATTTGAAAGTGCTCCAAAAAAACTGAAAAAGTTATACCTATTCTTGTAAAAACTAGAGCATGTATCGCTACGTTTTTAAAAAATATAAAATCAAATAATAGCTTAATAAAAAGAAACAAAAATTCTAAAACAAACACATAATTCTAAACGTTAGAGAATCCGAATAGTTGCATTCTTTTAAAAAAGCGAATTCGTACGGCTTAATCTTTAAAAAATGAAATAACAGATTTTTCTTAAATTTGTGCTCCAAACTTTAGAGAATTCAAGTATGTAGTTTTAGAGTACTTTTAAAAAACCGAACCAGAAACCTTAGAAAATCTGAAAAGTTATACCTATTCTTGAAAGAAAAGAACATGTACTGCTACATTTAAAAAAATAAAATGAAAAAACAGCCATCTTTTAATTTCAAAAATTCTAAAAAAATACATAATTCTAAAGTTTACCAAGTAGTTGCATTCTATTAAAAAACTGATCCTGTATGGTTTTACCCTTAAAAAATGAAACAAATAGGTTTATTTAAATTTTTGAGGGTCCAAAAATTCTTATTTTAGAAAATTCCAGTAATTAAGCATGTACCTTTAAAAGATAAAATAAATTCCCACAAAATTAGGTTTTTTTAAACATTTGAAAGTGCTCCCAAAAACCTGAAAAAAGTCAACTTTAGAAAATCTGAGAAGATATACCCATTCTTGTAAAAATAGAGCATGTACCGCTACATTATTTTAAAAATTGAAATGAAAAAATAGCTGATTTTAATGGTTTAATTTCAAAAATAGTAAAAAAATAGATCATTTTAAAGTTTAGAGAATCCCCATAGCTGCATTGTTTTAAAAAACCGAGTGCGCACGGCTTCATTTTAAAAAAATGAAATGAAGTTGTTTTTTTAAAATTTGTATTACTTTCAAAATTCTCACCTTTAGAGAATCTGAAAAGTCATATTCTTGTAAAAACTGGAGCATGTACCCCCTCCAAATTTTAAAAAAAAACGAAAAAATAAGGTTATTAATTTTTAAAAAGAGGCAGCGGTTTCAAAATCCTGAAATACATCAAAGTACAGAGTAGATTTTTTTAACTGAGCCGGTAGAGATTCATCTTTTTGAACTGAAATAAAATACGTATTTTTTTAAATTTTTGCTGCTCGAAAAATGCCAGTAACTAAGCATGTACCACCTCACATTTAAAAGATAAAATAAATATCCACAAAATCAGTTTTTTTTTAAATTTGGAAGTGCTCCAAAAATTCAGAAAAAATAGAGCAAGAATTTTTAAAAAATGAAACAAACAAACCGGTGTATGGTTTCAAAAATTCATAATTCACAACTTTAGAGAATCCGAGTGTTGCATTCTAAAAAAGAACTGAACCTGTACGTCTTCATCCTTAAAAAAATGGGTTTACTTGAAATTTTTGCTGCTCTAAAAACTTGGAGACTGTGATTACATTCCTCTACGCGATAGAATCTGTACAGTTTCAATTTCGAAGGTAAAATCAAAATCATGAATTTGTATCAGTGACAGTGACAAGACAAGGGGGAAGGTGGAGCAACTTACTGTGAGGAGCTCAGAATTCCTACATGAAGTCAGAGTACACAAGTCAATATGTGGCCCTTTCTACTTAACAGTGCCAAAATACCTTTGATGATTTCGTTCGTTTTTATATCGGAATTTATTCCATTGCTGGTGGGCTCGACACACGCATCAAAGTAACGCTGCAACGTGTCCATTTGATTACACAAAATATCTTTGAACGTTTCCATTTCGGCGAGCTTCTCGCGTAGATTACGACTGGAACGTTTAAAGCTACTGCCCGATGCTGTGCTGTAATTGTTTGACTGCAAGCTGACTGTCGAGCCGTGTCGTTTTAAGCTATTTTCTGAACCAGTCCCGTAACCCGATTCCGCCTAAAAGACAAGGTTAGTGATTACGTATGAGGTTTTCCGCACGTTTTACTTTGTATAATTCTAAGGCGTCAATCCATTGTTGTCTATTCTCGACACTGTCCGCCCTCAAATACCAAACGCAATCGTTGACAGACACGTCAAAACGACATTCGTCAAACTCGTGAGGCTGTAACAAGTGAGGATTAACAGGTGATTGGTAAATGGAAAAAGCCTACTTTGATCGTTGCTTTGGCGAGAGACAAGGCTCCTCTGCAGCCGTAACCACATTCCTGCTCACTTTTGTAATAGGATAACGTCCCATTTTTAAGGACAATGTATCTGTCTTGCCAGCCATGAATGTAATTAGTCCACTTGTGTAAAACGCCTTGTAATTCCGGCCGCTCGAGATTTTCGCTATCAGACTCATCGCTCGTATGATCATCCATCTTAATTCGGTCTATTTCCATGGTACAGAGCTATTACTAATCAAGCCATTTTTACTTCTTGTTATCGACAATTACGGGTTTCACGACATTCGTCATTGTTGTTTATCAACTGATTCTTATCACTCTTTCGTTGGTTGGTATTTTTACTCGCCTTAATTAAATTTAATTCTTTTTGTGCGTATCCAACGACATCTTCTATTGTTTTATTCAATTTTCGTATCACTCGCTACATATGTTCCCGCTAATTGTAAACAACCTGTATCTCTTTTCTGGCGCCACCTTTGAATTGGCAAGGTAATTATAAACATCCAACTGTATAGGCAACACAAAGTACACGCGATAGTTTGTGGTGCATATCCGATGGCGGCAATCGATTGTTAAATGGGTCACAAATACGAATACCGGGTGTTCCAAAAAGGTTGATGGTTGTTTGATTTCCCACAAAACAAAAATTAAATTGTTTGCGTTTTGTCCGTCCGTCTGGACTCACTTCTGCGGTTTTTAACTACTTTTAGGGGAATAGTCCTAGAGTCCCGGATTTTTTTTTGCAATCCTATACCTTGAAGGTGTGCCAAACGGCCATCAAATTACGGTGTCTCAAGGGCAGCCTCCCCCATGAATTATCTCCTGAGATGCTGTTTTTGATTGTAAAACGTGCATAGCTTTTACATACCACAACCAACGGGTCTCGGAATGTGCATACGCATGCCTTTAGTGGTACCAAGTAACATCTTTGAAAAAGAGGGGCGGGGGGGGGGCGATGGCGAACACACGTTGTGCCTTCATAGTATCATATCAGAATCCTTATCAAAAGAGGGGGTTTTGGTGCCGGAGGGGGGCTCCTAGAATCGTGGTGCAATAGGTAGCCTATACCTTGAAGATGTTCCAGAGGGCCATCACATTTAGCTGTCTCCTTTAGTTAGTGGTTCCAAGTAAAAATTAAGGGGGGGGGGGTTAACACACGTTCCACGCTTCATGGTACTCTAATGAAAGGTTTTAACGAAGGGAAATAATTTCTACCAACCATAGCCTCCACTCCTTATCGTGATCGAATGTAACTAATTCTTTATATCTCAAGAACTTCACCGTGCTCTCTCCTTGTCCATGGTTTTTGTGGCTCCCATTCTTCCTGCCACCTCTCCATCACCTTCTGTCAGTCTCATCCTTTGAATCTAGCCATGAAGGACGGGTGCCACCACTAATCTTGCCTGTAGCTGAACAATTCTGTCGTAGGCCCTTGCACTTTTAATTGCAAGAAGCCTTTGAACTTTATTTAGCAGCGACCTCGCTACTCTCCACTTCACTGCATCTCCCCAATGCGCTAAAAAGCGAACAAAATGTTATTGATGTCCTGGAATCTGCAGAATTCAATCCCCAAATTAGTACTAGAGAAATTTCTCGAGACTTGGGTATTCCTCAAAGTACGGTTCATCGCATTACTCAAACCCTAACGTATGTAACCTGCGAAATATCATATCATAGGGGTATACCTGTTTTTATAAAGTTTAGTCCATTTTATTTTACAGTCAAATTATAAATTATTTGTTGCTATTATTTAAAAAACGGTCCTTCTTAGAGCCACAGACCATATCATAAAAAGAATTCAGTAAACTAACTATAATATACCCTCGATTATACCTATAATATTAAAGTGACTTAATAAGTTCAGGAGGCGTTTAGTCCCTTTGGAGCAACATGAATGTTCTGATGATATATGTATGTATATTTTTTAATGATTTATAGTTATTAGACTCACAATTGCCTCTTTAACATTTTATCAAATGTACCAATTGCATACACAAAAGACAATTCCAGATACTGGATCGTTGAAGTACAATTGCTCTACAAATCCTACATGAAATTGCACATTTTTAACTGCCCTTTAAGGAAAATTGAGTCGGACGTGGCCATTAAGTGTTTAAATTAAAATGTTCTTGTGAAGGTATTAACGTACGTGGCGACATCTCATTGGAACTGGTTCAACTATTACAAGAAAATAATTCCGAAAAGTATAGGGATTACCAAAGAGATGGCGCAAATGTACCAATTGCATACACAAAAGACAATTCCAGATACTGGATCATTGAAGTACAATTGCTCTACAAATCCTACATGAAATTGCACATTTTCAACTGCCCTTTAAGGAAAATTGAGTCGGACGTGGCCATTAAGTGCTTAAATTAAAATGTTCTTGTGAAGGTATATACGTACGTGGCGACATCTCATTGCAACTGGTTCAACTATTACAAGAAAATAATTAGGAAAAGTATAGGGATTACCAAAGAGATGGCGCAAATGTACCAATTGCATACACAAAATACACAAACCCAATTCCAGATACTGAATTATTGACGTACAATTGCTCTACAAATCCCACATGAAATTGCACATTTTCAACTGCCCTTTAAGGAAAATTGAGTCGGACGTGGCTATTAAGTGCTTAAATTATTAAAATGTTCTTGTGAAGGTATTTACGTACGTGGCGACATCTCATTGGAACTGGTTCAACTATTACAAGAAAAGAATAAGGAAAAGTGTAGGGATTACCAAAGAGATGGCGCAAATGTACCAATTGCATACACAAAAGACAATTCCAGATACTGGATCATTGAAGTACAATTGCTCTACAAATCCTTCATGAAATTGCACATTTTCAACTGCCCTTTAAGGAAAATTGAGTCGGACGTGGCTATTAAGTGCATAAATTAAAATGTTCTTGCGAAGGTAGTTACGTACGTGGCGACATCTCATTGGAACTGGTTCAACTATTACAAGAAATTAATTTGGAAAAGTATAGGGATTACCAAAGAGATGGCGCAAATGTACCAATTGCATACACAAAAGACAATTCCAGATACTGGATCATTGAAGTACAATTGCTCTACAAATCCTACATGAAATTGCACATTTTCAACTGCCCTTTAAGGAAAATTGAGTCGGAGGTGGCTATTAAGTGCATAAATTAAAATGTTCGTTGGAAGATAATTTCGTACGTGGCGACATCTCATTGGAACTTGTTCAACTATTAATAATTAATAATAAGGAAAAGTATAGGAATTACCAAAGAGATGGCGCAAATGTACCAATTGCATTCACAAAAGACAATTACAGATACTGGATCATTGAAGTACAATTGCTCTACAAATCCTACATGAAATTGCACATTTTCAACTGCCCTTTAAGGAAAATTGAGTCGGACGTGGCCATTAAGTGCTTAAATTAAAATGTTCTTGTGAAGGTATTTACGTACGTGGCGACATCTTATTGGAACTGGTTCAACTATTACAAGAAAATAATAAGGAAAAGTATAGGGATTACCAAAGAGATGGCGCAAATGTACCAATTGCATTCACAAAAGACAATTACAGATGCTGGATCATTGAAGTACAATTGCTCTACAAATCCTACATGAAATTGCACATTTTCAACTGCCCTTTAAGGAAAATTGAGTCGGACGTGGCTATTAAGTGCATAAATTAAAATGTTCTTGTGAAGATAATTTCGTACGTGGCGACATCTCATTGGAACTGGTTCAACTATTACAAGAAAATAATAAGGAAAAAGTATAGGGATTACAAAAGAGATGGCGCAAATATACAAATTGCATACACAAGACAATTTCCAAATACTGGATCATTGAAGTACAATTGGTCTACAAATCCTACATGAAATTGCACATTATCAACTGCCCTTTAAGGAAATGGCCTGTAGAATCCATAATTTCAAACAGTTCCAAGATTGGGCTACTAGTTCAAAAGTTACAGCCCTTTGAATTTTTTTTTGAAATTGGTTTCTAGTCTATAACTTTTGATTGAGAAGTCTGATCGAAAAAGTACGAATTGTTTTGGATTCTACGCACCAACATTAATAAGAAAAAGTGTTTTCCCGAGAAATTTTGGTGTAGTCGATTTTTGGTAAAAAAGGAAGGTTATACACTGCCTTTTTTTGAGCCCCGAAAAAAAAATTGTCTCAGGTCGACCCGGAAAAAAAATTTTCTTATAGAATGTGGCCTGTAGAATCCATAATTTCAAACAGTTCCAAGATTGCGCTACTAGTTCAAAAGTTACA